TGTTTCCGCTGCTATTCTCGTTGGCTGTCGCGTTGGCTGTCGCGTTGGCTGTCGTGTTGGCCGCCGTGGTGGCCGCCCTGATCTCGATCCGCTCGAGCCTTTCTTTGTACATGTGAATCTTCTGCGCGAATTCGTACAGCTCGTCAGGATAGTTCTCAATGTTGGTCTCAAAAAAGTGCCTTTTCGCCAAGCCCAGTTCGTACATCTTAGTACGAGCTTCGTTGAAGGCGTCACGGAGCTCTGCCAAGCGGTCAACTTCGTACTCGTCAGGATTTTCTGGTAGCTCCATTTTCCCAAGCGTGTCGCACAATCTCTTGAAGAAGGAATCAAGTTTGTCGGCGGTGGCAGACTGCTTTCGTATCAGACCTTTGAAAGCGTCTTGGAACTGCTGGTGCATGGCTCTGAATTCAGGAGGGGGGCCTTGGTTGCCTGATGTCGTCCCCAAAGTCCCCTCGCTGGGCGGTTGGTAATCGGGGTTCCGCGTCGAGCTTTCAACTGGTGGCGTGTAGTGAGTCTGTGTGCCCTGGTGAGAGATCATGATCCCGCTCGGCACGGCTGTAGCCGACAAGACTCGTGTCAGCCCTTCGTTCTCGCTCGTTAGAGCAAGGACTTGTCGTTCCAGCCCAGCCGACTCCCTCCGATGGTCCTCCTCCAGAGTCTGGATCTTGTGTTCGAGGGCATCTACCGTCTTGCCATGCTCTTCTTTGATCTTGGCTAGATCAGCATCCTCATCAGGGGCTTGGTTCCGATTCTCCAGCTGTTGAACCCTGAGCTTGAGCTCCTCCATTGTCTTCTGTTGAGCTTCGATCTCCGCCGGATCTGTACCCTCGTCGGCAGCCGACTTGCGGCTCTCCAGGTCGCGGATCTTGAACTCGAGGCCATCCACCACTTCCTGGTGCGTAGCTTTGGTCCTCTCAAGCTCAGTTTCGCCCACCTCGGCTCTCCGCTTCAAGCTTTGAACCTCGTCCTCCAACCTCTCGACGGTTTTGTTGTGCTCCGCCATCCACTCTTCTCGCAACTCCTTGTCTTTCTCAACCAGCCTGCCTTTGATCATGTTTTCGAGGTGGTCGACACCCTCTTGCTCCACTATGAGGCGCCTCTTCAGCTCACTGTCGTATCTTTGTTTTGCAAAGCTCCATTTATTCCGGAATTCGGCCACCTTCTCTTCAAGTGTGCGTACTTCCGCATTGAGGCGCTCGCCGTGTTCGTGGCATTCGTCGAGAGCCTTCTGCTTCGCCTTCAACTCCTCCATCTTTTCCTTGAGTAAGAGGTCCTTTCCTCGTATTTCCCCATCCTTGTGTTGGATTTCTTCGTCCTTGCGTTTGATCTCTTCAATCTTCTTCCTCATTTCCTGCTCGATTTCCCGTAGTTGCTCAAGGAGTCTGACGTTTCGTTCTGCAACTTCGTCCGCAGAATCCATGTACGTCTTGAGATCCTCCTTCAATGCGTCTCTCTGTTGGGACAATTCTACCTTTTCTTCCTGGAGCTGATCCCTCTCAAGAGTCAGGCTGTTTCTTTCCTCTCGAAGATTCTTGGCATCCTCATCGAGGCCGGCCACCGTCTGTTGGATCTCCTGCAGATCTCTGCGGCTCGCTGCCTGGTCGCTTTCCGCTTTGTCCACGCGGTCGATCAGGTCGGCCACCAGCTTGAGGTGTTCTCCCGGGTCGTCCAGCGAGCTCGCACCTGTGCTCGATCCGTCCGCTGTGGCAGCCTCTTGTGCCATCTTTTCCTGCGCCAACTTTTCTCGCGCGCAGGCGTACATAGCCTTGGCCTCAGCTTTGCCCAGTCTGTCGTGGACAGCGCTTAACTGCCCCTTGAGCTGTTCAGAGACCTGCGAAATGAACTCTTCCCTCCTCTGGAGTCTCTTGAGCTCCTTTGTTCGTTGCCGGAGCGTAACTTCCAGGTTCTTGATCTTCTCGTCGGCTTCCTTGAGGTTGGTCTCGGCGTCTTGTTCGTCGCGCGCCTGGATAGCAGATGGTCTGTTGGCTTCTCTCTTCATTCGTTCGGCATTAGATTCGTGCTCCTCGATGGTCTGCTCCAGCACCCGAGCGCTTGCTTCCAGCTCCGCAATCTCATCAACAAGCTTCTTGGCCTCATCTTTGAGGTCTCTTATCTCCTTGTCGGCTTCCTTACGATGATGCTGGCACTCGTCCAATGCGATTTTGGTACTGCGTAGCTCACGGGACACGTCCCCTTGGTCAACCTTGCTTCCCTGGGTCCCCTGAGTACTGGTTAGCATCGCGTCAAGAATGGAGCTGCTTGAACTCACTGCCGAAGACACTCTATCGAGTCTGCTGAGTTCGTCCTCAATTGTCTGTAGCGTTCGATCGGGGCTGCCCTGGTTCTCTTCCGGTTCCTATGAACCCAATTAGTAATTTCATCCAACCTTGCGAGGTTCGATTCAACTTACCGCGGAGGACTGGCTGTTGAATTCTCCAAGCTCCTTCGCGAGATTAAGCCTCTCTTCAGGCTCGCTCTCTGTCTGCGATTCTTCGCATTTTGAAGCTACCGCCCCAGAAGTCCGCTTGGGAGGCGAGAACAAATCATCAGACAGTGACTGCGAAGGCTTTTCGTCGGAAAGCACGACGGCATGAGGGTATCTACGAAAGCCGTCGTTGCCGTCACAAACCAAGTCCGCTAGCCTAGCTTCCTCTTCCCGCCAGTTGCTGTACAGGTTGCTCGTGGCATCGTCCATGGCGAGGCCGTAGAAACCGACAACCTCTCCGATGATGTCCCGCATATCGTCCATGGGAACGTCTTGTTTTAGTGCCTCGTCGCGTTCTGTCTCTGCTTGAGCTAGTCGTAACTCCAAGTCCGAAACCTCGCCCCTCGCATTGTCGACGAGCTTACGATACTCGGCCAGGGGAACGTTCTCGTGGTCGACGGTGAAAGTCATGTTTTCCACCTCGATTTGGGCCTGGGAGACTTTTCTGGTCTGTTCCGCCAATTGTTTCCGAAGGCTCTCGACCATGGCTTGCGCTTCCTTGACTTGCTTTTGGTAGTCCACCAACTGCTTTTCCATATAGGAGACGTCCTCTTCGTGCCGCTTCTCCTTCGCCTGCCATACGCCCTTCTCTTCTTCGAGTTTACGCTCCGCTGTCGCCCTGGTTGACATTTCGGCATTGAGCTGATCACGCAGCTTAGAAATGGTACTCTTGAGCTCTTCCTCGTTCACTGGAGGAGCCATTTGTTGGATGCGCAATTGAACTTCATTGAGCTCTGCTGTGCGGTGCTGGAGTGCAATCTCCTTCTCGTTGCACTCATTCTGAGCTCTCTTGAGCTGGTTTTGATTTGCTTCCAGGCCCGACTTGAGTTTGTCTCGCTCGTCGATACACTTCGTGAGCTGCACCTCGAGGTCTCGTGCCTTTCGCTCAAGTGGGCCAAGTTCGCCAAGTTTGTCACTTTGCGTTGCCACGATCTGTTGCAATGCAGTCTTTTCCCTCTCAAGCTGCGCGTGTGCTTGCGTCGAGGCCTCAAGTTTTGAACTCTCGATCTGAAGTTTCTCTTGCCACGTACTACATTCTTCGGAGACCTTTGAGGCAAAATTCTTGAAGAGTTGCTCGCATGTTGTGGGCGCCGGCTCCTTGTTGACTAGATGAAGAATGCCGTGTGATTCCGCGAGGCCTCTTAAGTAATTTCTCACATCCTCGAGCCCTTTCGACTCAGTTGACTCAATTAGCTCCGCATTAGGTGCTGGATTGCTCGCTTGAGTCTCCTCGCCTTCTTGTTGGCCCAGCGGAGTCGACTCAGAGGTGGATGGGGCCGGACTTTTCGGCCGGCTGGTCTGCTTTGTCTGCCTCGCTGGCTGAATGGGAATAGTGCCCCTGGAATCGTCGGGGTTGCGACGCCTGCCCCTGGATACTGAACTATCGCGCCGGGACATGCTTGAGCTCCTGGAGGCTGAATCTGACGGCACTGCTTGGCCTCGACCTCGACTAAACGGAAGCTCTGCTTCGCCAGCAGGACGATCAGAGGATACATCCTGTATGGCTGTTGCGGGCGTAGCTGGTGTTGGGAAATCATCGCGCGAAGGGCTTGCCACGCTCCGCATATCCAACTTCGCTCCAGTGGCACCCTTCCCAGCCAAAGCGGCCCAGGGGACCCTGGAAGGCTTTGCTGTGGTTGACGAGTCACCGCGAGGCGCTGATGATGTGGACGCCCTGCTTCCACTTCGCTGTTGCTCTCCATTTGCTGGAGGTTGTCTAGAGCCCTGGTCCGACGAAGCCCGCACATCTAGCTCATCTTTCTCAGATGTTGCTGTGGTTGGAGGTTCCTCCCGAGAGATCGTTCGACCTGGGGTCACCTCACTCTCTGGAACCTCATCGCCCTTCTCCCCAGCCATCTCTCTCGGTGCCAAGTATGTCAGCTTTCAAGCAAGGTGTACTTACAATTTCTCTCATATGATCTATGATGTAAAACAGCAAGGAAAACAAGATAGAGAAAGCTAAGAAGAGGAATGGAAACAACGAAAGCTGCCCAAAGGTCTTTGATCTCTGAGGACACGCCGTACTTATATCATAGGTTGTCTTCAGGATGGCGAACATTGACTTGGCCTTGAGGAGTCCCGAAGTAGGAAGCATACTCGGAGTCATTCCATCAACATGATACAAGCAGTCGACTTCTAGGGAGGAGCAGATTCTCCCAAATCGAGGGAGACGATAATGCGTCCGTTTGCGTATCAGAATGCCCTGGTCAGTGCAACTCCCATTCAACTCTCAACAAAGCTTACAACCCCGAATCTGAAAATAACAAGTCAAAGGCTCAATGTTGAATAAGGGAGCGTGAACCAACAATGAGAACTCTGGAGTTGGTCAAAGACTTGCGGACGTGCACATCCCCTGGAATCTTAGATTGTCTTTGTGGCCGGTTACCCTACCGCGTCTTCGCCTCAATGACCTCTTGGTACCTTACCTTATGACATAACACAAGGTTAGCAAGCCCGTTCTAAGTTTCGGCAAGTCGGGGACGGCCCAGAGTGTGATGCTGCGGAGGGCGTCAGCTGCCCCATCAATTCATTGCTAGGTAGGTCAAACAATTGCCCCATACTGGCGTCCTTGGGAATATTCCTCCAATCCTCCGATCTGTAAAACCTCCCACAAAACTCCATTGCAACATTTTGACCTGGTATTCTATATGTCGTCCTGCACCAGTGAACGACGGAACTAAGATGCTATGCCGAAACGCCAAATACGCCGTTTTGTCTTCCTCTAACTGTACCATCCCCTGGCACCGGGACCTTGCGCTGTTGCTTCTTTCCGATGGGTGATCATCGGCTCCTTAATCTCAAATGTGTCAATGATATCTTGCCATGTTTGCATGTCCATGGAAAAGATTGCTTGCTGCTTCGCTGTCTCACGCTTGACTGTGCCGTCCTCGTTTGCGTCTCCATTGCTGATGGGATCTGAAGTCCAGTCAGTACAATCAATGTCACATGTTCAGATGATGACTGGCTTACTGAGAGAGGGGTATTCGTCGCTGTCAAACTCGATGCCAACCTTTCCGTCACGAATGAGGAAACTGACGTAGAACATGTTTTCCACCGTTTGGCCAAAGGACTTGGGGTTGACAACGAAACGAAGTAGGTCAACACCGCCTGTATCCCGTAGACCGTACTTCTGCATGAGTTGAATCTGCTCGGCGTCGTCCATTTCGGTGTTTTCAAATATTTCAGAGAGCTCCGTTTGAATGCTGCTTTGCACCTTGTCCAGCTGCTTCAGAATCTTACCGCAGATAGCGGTCAAATCATTCTCCTTCTTGGCAAGGTCCTCGACATTCAGCACCTCGGGTCTTGTCTCTTCCAGGTTATTGGGTCTGAACGGGGCGGTGCGCTTCGATATCTTGCGTACTTTCTTCTCAACGGACAAGGGACCAAGGAGAAAGCCGGGCAAGGCTGGCCGACGAACATTTGGTAAGGAAGCGAAGCGTCCGAGATGGCTCCAGTTGAAGGCCTCGTCGTTCCCTTCGTCCTCATCATCGCGTGAATTGTTATTGGTGCGGCGTCTCCGTCTTTGTGTACCCGATAGCTCTGGCGCCTCGTCGTCTGCGATTCCACCGGCTTGCCGCATGTAGGTGCAGCACTTGGAGACGAACTCATCCACATCGACACCCTCGGTGGAGCTTCCCTGCATCAACCTCACGGTTTTGCGGTACGACATATCGACGGCGCTGACAAGCAGGCGAGAGTCTATTGTCGCCTCCGTAGTTTGCTTCACACCCTTAGCAACGCGCTGAGCCATCATCAAGGTATCCTTCAGACCCGTTGAGCCTGGCAGCATGTACTCCTCCATATTTTCGTTGATGCCCTTATGAAGGTCTCGGAGCTTTCGTTGGATTTCTCGACGTTCTTCCATCGGTTGGTCTGGGTCGTAGATGTCCGAATCGTATTCTTCTTCTCTCTCAGCGGAGCGCGTAGCTCGGCGACGAGCGGCATGACCCCCATTTTCCGTGTCTGTACGTTTCCGCTTGCCAATAGAGACATCGCGACCTTTGCCTTTGTCTCTCGCGGCGAGATGACCGCGCGCAGGACGGGGCGCATCATCTTCGCTCGACTCGGGGGAGGACGAGCCTCCAACTCTCGCCGGCATTCTCGATATTGACAGGGTCGCTTAGTGAGAAGTTGCTGTGTGTTAGGTATTATAGTTGTCGAGGATTTTGGCTTGATATGAGGCAGGGCCTGACGTAGAACCAAAGGGGGCGCCTCCTGTGCGGTTTCCGATGACGAGCTCGAGTGGTTGGGCGGGATATCACGCGTGAAATTGCGACTGAACATGGAAGACGCGACAAGCACTTCTCAGGCGATCCTTCCACTCAACGCGCTCCAACAATCGTTATCGCACCCATAGGTGCGTGGGGTGAATGTGGCTGGGGACGACTTTCTTATCGATAAGATATTGCCTAGGTCTGGAGACATGTGGCTGAGGCGGGGGTCACAGACGACAGAAGTCCACAGCATGCTAGCCCATACCGGGATGTACTGCCTACCTAATGCACTCCACTGGAGCTTCCCACAGTCAGCTGCCGCCTACCAGTGCTTATCCAGTCTGGTGCAGTCAGTGACCTCAACCTGCGCTACCTACCCACAAACACATGCAACCGCTGTCTGTCGCATTCGCCGAACGACATTCTGCAACTTGCCTACTTCATTGCATAATGGACTCATAACCTCTTCGTACGAGCTCCTATCCTCACAATGGAGCCATTTTCATTTGCCAGCTCCGAGTCTCTAGACTATCCAGTCAGCATCCGCATGTATGCGCCCATCTACTGCGTCGTTCCCAACCCGGATAATGCGCGTGACTGACGCTGCCGTGATAGTATTAATCTAGAGGGCGACGAAACACCATTTCTGCATTCCACTTTGTTGGAAAAGGCCGAGCTGAGACATATCGGCTCTAACACAAGGTGATACCTTTCGTACGGCTGCTGGTCGCCATCGCTAACTTGCTAGCTCGCACTCCGATCTCTACGTCACCGTGCAAGTATGGGCCGGCTCGAAGCCGTTGACAGTACCTATCCAGACGGCATACAAATCGTTTCGCAATGAGAGGAGGCAAGTCGCACCCCTTACGTCTGGTGGATGATCCTGGGAAAAGACCTCTGACGCGGAGCGCGCATAGATGGAACGAATGGCTCACTCTACCGATCAACTACAAAACCCTCCCTCTAAACTCCTGCTTAGCCATCACATTATGGGACTCGTCACCAGCTGGTGGAAAACAAGCGAGAGGCCATGCGATCCCCTTCGGCGGCACAACGCTCCCACTATTCGACCGAGACAATCAGGTGCAGAAGGGCCGGCAGAAATGCATGGTCCACCGACACAAGAACGCTGATGGAAATGACAATACCACTACGCCTGCGGTTCCGCGGAAGAAACGGGACGGCTCGAGGAAAGGAGCCACTCCAACGGTAGATAAGGATGCTGAAGAGCTGGAGCGCATGGAGAAGCTATTCAAGAAACACGAAATGGGCGAGATACCCAGAGTCGACTGGCTTGATCAGCTTGTCTTCCGTGGCTTCGAGAAGCGCGGGCTACAATCGGCAAAAGCATCACTCAAGACTATGCAACGCCAGAGGACGACAAACGGAGATGCATCAACCGAAAAGGAGGGAACTTCAGACGACAAGGGTATTGTGAACACCGAATCCCATCCTGGGTTTTCCAAGTTCCAGCTCAACGTGGAATTGCCGCGATTCGACTTCCCAGTTGTATTTGCGGACCTAGAATATGATCCTCCGCCGATTTCGGCGCTTCAGCATGTGTCTGCTTCTCAGTCTAACGTAATGTTGAAGCCGCCGCCCGAAGTGCAGTTTGGTCCCGGTATCGACGCGCTTGACGACTCAGCTGGGAGTCGATTGATGAAGGTTTATGACCCTGAGGTTGGTGCTCGCGACAATCCAGCCGAAAGCAAGCACAGAAGGCTTGTCAGAAGTCAGCATCGTCACGGGGTTCTCGACAAGGATCTCAAACCAAATGCCAAGGTCCGAGATGAGCTGAATCTCATCATGTCGTATTCGCCAACCCACACGTTAACCCCGGAGGAGAAGGATTTAATCTGGAAATTCCGCTATCATCTCACTCGAGACAAGCGGGCTGTTACCAAGTTTGTGAAATCAGTCAACTGGCAAGATCAAAGCGAAGCCAAGCAGGCAGTGCAAGTCTTGGGACGCTGGACCGAAATCGACGTCGACGATGCTTTAGAGTTGCTTGGCCCCACCTTCGACAACCAAGCTGTTCGAGCATATGCTGTGGAAAGACTACGTAAGGCGGATGATCATGAGCTGCTCCTTTATCTGCTGCAATTGGTGCAAGCCTTGAAATACGAGCATATCCAGGCCGACTCTTCCCAGGAGGCCATTCATGATTCGTCTCTGGCTCAATTCTTGATATCCCGAGCAGCCGGTAACTTTCTTCTTGGCAACTACTTCCATTGGTACCTGATGGTCGAATGCGACGATCACAGCCCAGACCAGGGATTGGATAACCGCAACATCTACCGAAAGGTGGCCTACGACTTCATGACTGAACTAGTGAAGCAACCGGATGGAGTCGAATCGCGGAAAACACTCTTGAGACAGGCTGAGTTGATTGCCATCTTGTCCAAGATTTCTGGAGAAGTCAAAACGTCACACGAATCCATCGCGAAAAAGACTGACCGCGTCAAACACTTCTTGGCAGATCCAAAGAATGAAATTCTGACAATCGACCCGCCGTTACCTTTGCCGCTCGACCCTACCATGCTAGTGGTCGGGGTGGTACCTGATGAGACGACGGTCTTCAAGTCATCTCTTTGCCCAATCAAGGTCACCTTCAAAACCAGCACCGGCAAGAAGTATCCCATCATCTTCAAGACTGGTGACGACCTGCGCCAGGACCAGTTGGTCATTCAAATCATTACTCTCATGGACCAACTACTGCAGAAAGAAAACTTGGATTTGAAGCTGTCTCCCTACAAAATTCTGGCAACCAGCACAACAGCAGGCGCTTCTCAATTTGTTCCATCCGTCAGCTTCCAAAGCATTGCTTCGAAATTCAGAAACAACCCAGCACTGACCTACTTGAAATCCAACAACCCAGACGACCGGCAACCCCTAGGTCTACGCCAAGAAACTCTGGACACCTATATCAAGTCTTGCGCAGGATACTGCGTGATTACCTACATTCTAGGCGTCGGCGATCGGCATCTGGATAACCTTCTCCTCGCCCCGGACGGTCATTTCTTCCACGCCGACTTTGGTTTCATTCTTGGCCGAGATCCAAAGCCGTTTGCACCAGTCATGAAGCTCTCAAAGGAAATGGTAGACTGTATGGGCGGAGTCAACTCAGAGCACTTCAAACAGTTCAAGCAGTACTGCTTCCTGGCATACACTGCTTTGCGTAAATCCTCCAATCTTATCCTCAACTTGTTTAGCTTGATGGTGGACGCGAACATTCCTGACATTCGACTCGAGCCTGACAAGGCGGTGCTGAAGGTTCGTGAACGATTTCACCTGGAACTTACAGAGGAGGAGTCAATGCTGTTCTTCGAGAGGATCATCGAAGACACCCTCGGAGCCATTGCTCCGGTTGTCATTGACAAGCTGCATGAGCTCGTGCAGGCTTTCCGAAACTGAGGGATGGTTGTCAGGCTTGGAGGCTCCGTATGCATTAGAGTTTGAGGTCATAATGGACAGCAACAACAACGTTGGCGAGTACCAAGAAACCACAGTAGTCTCATGGGCACACCCGATTCTTGTTCTTCACTTTGGGGCCCAAGCCTGCTCATCGGAGATACCGGGCACCTCGCTGATGATACCTTGACGGAGTCCTTGCCGCAATGTGAGCAGATTTGGAAAACCCGTGACCTTCCCACCAAGAAAAAGTAATGGTATGGAAGCCATCTTCCTAGCGAATCTGTACATGATGATGTATACTCTACGTATGAGACTCTACGGGCGATTTTTATATGTCGTATAAGGACCGTAGAGGCGCACGGCTTGATTCGTAACAGTCCAACTCTACCTTGCAACGGGTTGAGAACTATCGTGCCAGCCAGATGTACCTATCTCCGATACGTATAACCACGTTGAGACCTTGAGAACTGAGAAAGATATATATAAAGGTCTTATGCTCTCCATTACAAGTTTATTCTTTCGAGCCAACATCCCACCAATCGACCATAGTTCCCTTCTCTTGAAAATTTCCAATCTTCTATTCTGCCCATATCAAGATGGACGCCCATAACCTTCCCACTTTTGAGGAGCGCCGTGAACGGCTTGAAGACATATTCGACTTCCTTGGAGACACCGAACCTGAGAGCGTGTCTCCTAGACTGCGCGAACCTCTCCTAGCACTGCAGCGTCGCGCTGTTGCATGCCGGGCCCCGTACGATGCAGACATCGAAGAAGAGCTCGCAGTGTGGCAGGACTTTCTCGAAGTCCAGGCGGACATCCACAGGTTCATGGGCTACCGCCGCTTCCTCTGGAGACTGAGAGAAGCGGATGCAAAGAACTTCCTCGCCACTTATCTCTCAGGTCGATCCTGGGCTCGAGAGTGGTTGCCGAACGGAGGTGTTCCTCACAACGCCTGCGAGCAATGCACTAATTGGCTTCCTAGCCGCCAGCAACAATGTGAATGCCAGTTCATCTGCCAACCTCTGTGGTGGATTCTTGAGGATTACCATCATGAGCGAGATCAATTCAACGTGTGGCTTAGGAACGCCACGATAGCGATGGGTGTAGCAGATGAACCTCAACCTCCTTCCCCCGTCGACGACTTCTTCGCGAGGGTCGCCACCTACAGCCTGGAACACGACGCCCCTGAAGAGTCATGGAGTGTCAGAAACATTTACGAAGTCTTGTTACAGACGTATAGCCATGCAAGGGGCGGGCAGGTCACTTGTCGCGACTTCCTCCAGATGGGGTTGGACTATACGCTGAACAGGATCAACTGGGACCAATTGTCCGTTCTCAATCGCGTTCGCGGCATTCTCAGCGACACCGAGGCCCATGAGCTCGTGGAGGCGATACATTACGATGGTCTGATGTACTACGTCTCGTCTTTCCATCTCGACGTCGACGGCACGTATGTCGATCAGCAGCCCCGCCAATGGGTCGTCAATTACCTAAAAGAGAATCCTGTGCCACGGGATATCTACAACGGCATCCCATTTGGTCGGATTCTGACCCCTAGTTACCTCTGGAATGAATATTTCATCGACGACGATGGGAACGTCGCGGTCTTCTGCCAATTCCAGGAGACTGGTGATGAGTGGGTCAAGTATTGGCTGGGCACTGGTAGGCCTCTTGACCGGGAAAATGGTGTAGCTCCACGAGAAGATCTTGCTATGTTCCATGGACGCCATCATCATCAACCTCAACTCAATGTCGGTCATCACCAACCGCCGCGAAACGATCCGGTGGAGGAGGACACTGGCCGGAATGGCGCGGGCCTCGGTTCTCTCGTCTCCGCTCTCGCTTCCGCTGCCAGTGGTGCTGCTCGTCGTGTTGCTGAGACATGGCCCTTCGTCGAAGTACACAGACGAGTCCTCCGAGGGGTCAATGATCTGGCTTCCGCTTTCCAGGGACCGGCGGAAGATCTTGGTGGCAGCGTGTATGAGGATCAACCGGCTGCGGAGAGCAAAAGTGAAAGTGGGAATGAGGAGGTGGAGGATAGATGGGCTGCGGATGACATCTATGATGAGATGTTGGATGAACGGCCGGGGATGTGAGCTGTGGTGACGACAGAGCCGCTGAGAGCTAAGGGTTCGGGGTGACGGACAAGACTTATGTAGTCTAATGTGACATACAGACTACATCAACTTATTGTGTCCTTTATGAAGTGATGTGAACGCAGGCTCTGCTTAAAACGTGAGACAGACCAGTACGACTACATGCAATAGATGCTAAATAGTAGTGGCTCTGCTTCGAGCTTGCCCGAGAGTGACAAAGTCAACAACAACCAAGTTTCATACATCAGATCTGTGAAAGCTATGGTAATGTGAGGCTGCGTGGCTTATTCGTAGGACTCGACGTAAAAGAGGCAATCCTCTCCACGAGGTAGTGTATATACATCAGGCAGCAAGAAGGTGGTTGGTTCCTTCCTCAATAGCTATGGAAAACATGACCTCGTGCCTTCCTTCAGCCTAGGTCTCGAAGGCCGCGCAAATTCAAATTCTTTTGAAAAATACGCGGCGCGTGAGGAACTTACCTACCACCAGATCTCCTTCTTCGTGCCCATCTCCAAGCCTTTCTCGCCTTTCCTCACACTTGCCTTCACACTTGGCTTTCCACTACCTTTTCACTCTCACCTTTTTACTCTCACCTTCTCACTCTCACCTTCTCACTCTGGCCTTCTCACTCTCGCCTTCTCACTCTCGCCTTTTCACTCTCACACCTTCGACTCACATCACTACCCTCACCCCATCACTGTCTTGATCTCGCCCCGATCCCAACATCTCTGCCGTTCAATCAAATTTTTATTCGGTTTTCGAATCATCGTACACAACTCTCTTGGGTCTCTTCAAGACTTCCTGACAATTCCATCAAACGCCCGGCAGCGAGAAATCGCCTCCGCGCCCTGCATGGATCCGCCAGCATCACCACAATCTCGAGAAGAGGCGGATGCTCAGCTACAGACCATCGTACACGATCGAGGCATAGAATATGGGCAAGCTAAGAGATTCGCGGAGAAACAACTACGAAACGCCCTCGAGATTCTCGCCAAAGATCTGTATTGCACAACAACCCATTTCATCTTGGAGCTTCTTCAAAATGCCGACGACAACGATTACTCCAAAGCCATTCAACAAGGCTCACGCCCAAGCTTTAGGCTGAGCATCGAGAGCTGTATCGACGACAGCGGCGAAACTGTTCACTACTTGGAAACGGGATGCAACGAAAATGGCTTTTCTCTTGGGCAAATCGACGCTCTCTGCGCGATCGGAGAGAGCACAAAGAGCTTATCGAAAGAGGTCCATTCGGGATATATTGGAGAGAAGGGCATAGGCTTCAAGTCTGTTTTCAGTGTCGCAAATGTAGTCTATGTCTCGAGTGGGCTCTACAGCTTCAAACTCGACAAGACAAGGGACATGCTGGGGGTTCTCCTGCCCCTCCCCGCAGTATTCATCAAACCGCAGCGCGAGTCTGAAAATACAAGCATGGCTCTTCAACTGCTTGGCAATAGCAAGTTGGAAGAGATTGCCGTGGAGCTTACCAAGATCAAACCCGAAATACTGCTCTTTCTTCGCCGACTCAGACGCATCGTTATCCAGACACCGGATGAGCAGACTGACTACTTGGCTACATACACAGATCACGACACAGACTTCCACTGCGAAACGCGGACTATTACCATGCACACAAACAACTCGGAGCCAGCGACGGAAACTAAGTACGTCATTATCCGAAAGGCAGTGGAAGAGATGCCAAAAGAATCTACAAGGGAAAACATCAGCGTCTCAGAGGTTACTCTTGCATTCCCGCTGGAGCAGGATGGTAACCCAAAGGTTCAAGAGCAGCCATTCTTTGCATTCTTGCCAGTTGGTCACTATGGCTTCCAAGTAAGGACCAAAATCCTTCTGGTTTCTCGAAAACATCGCTAACCGGACGTTCAGTTTCTCATTCAGAGCGACTTCATTCTGCTCGCGGATCGGGAGCGCGTTACCGCCGCAAACGCTTGGAACAACAAGATCAGAGAAGCAATTCCAGTTGCATTCGAGGAGGCAGTCGAGAGATTCAACAAAGGTGGAGGTAAACTGCGTTACTCTTGGCCACGGTACTTGGTGCAATCTCCCTCTCACGATGACTTTTGGGACGGTTTGGAAGAAGCCCTGATCAGACATCTTCAGTCTCGCCCAGTTCTTCAGAGTCGCGCGGGGATTGAGGATCTGCGAAAGCCGCAGGACCTCGTCTTCGTTTCTTCTGGATACTGTCTAGATGGAGTGCCTTTGATCGACTCACCGAAACAACGTCACCGCCATCTAGCATCCGAATACTCTCAAGAAGGAAATCTACCCAAAGGTTTCATGCGTCTGGGGGTAAGTACAATGGTTGCTGACGTGTTTGTGTCACATTTCTGTGAATGGGTCTCAATAGAGAAACCCGACCTCACCACCAAGTCACAGAAATGGCACAGTAAAGTGGCTGCTATTCTCGTCCGCTCTGATTCTTGGAAAGAGAAACTACGACGCTTGCCACTTGTGCCGACACTGGATGGGGATCTGCTTCCTGCGCGCACGGCGGACCTATACCTGGCGGCGAAGGCAGACATCCAAGGTGCTCCTCAAGGCCTTGGCCTCTTCTTCGTGCTCCCCGATGCGCGATCCGATGCCAAGAGAGACGCCCTCTTCGAATGGTTAGGGATCAAGAAGATCACATCGAACGATATTTGCAATCGAATTCTCCAAGACCATAACAAACGGAATCACGGTTGGGAGCCCCGAGGAACCGAGCGTCTCATCGAAGACGCATTCTACTTATTCCACAATCATCGTCCGCATTGGCTTCCAAAGATGAACCTCTGGGTTGCTACCTCCAACGGAAATGAGGTTTGCCGCGCCGATGCCGCCTACCTCATCGACCCAAAGATTCAACGTAACCTCATTAGCAAGCACTCTTCTGAACGGAAGGCTTGCATGAACGTCCTGCATCCTAATTACTTCAGTCGAGGCGAGATCACAGGTGAAGAACGGGCCGCCGAAAAAGACGCTTTCATTGAGTGGTTGAAGAATAAACACGGAGTCGCAACATCGTTCAAGTTATTTGTCCGTGATCAGTCTTCTTCGGAAGTCGTCATCAGTCGCGAAAGTCGATGGCTTCTCAAGAATGACTCCATGGGCTTCATACAACTCTTAAGAGACGAGTGGCTTCGAAACGGGCTGTTCTTCGAATACAAGGACTGCCTCTCAATTCTGCACCCACATGTCCAGGCCATGACAGTGCCTTGTCGAGACGGGGTCCAACGAAAACTACAGGACACGGCGATACCAACCAAAGCTCTGCTCCTCCACTGTCCACATCTTGCATTTGGAGTTTTCCCTGACCCAGAGGACTTAATATGGCAAAAGTTTGGAGCCTTTTCAGTCATTACTAAACCCAGTGTTGAGGCCTACGTCATGGAGCTCGAGATGATGAAAGGTTTGGCCATCGATGCGGATACTAAGAAGGCTGCAAGTCACATTTATCTGTATCTGGCCAACAACAGCAAAGAGATCTCGGATGCTCAGTGGTAAGGTTCTATTCAATTGATCGCGGGCGAGATAGCTAACCCGAGCAGTCAAGCCTTCAAGCGCGCCAAGATGGTTTATCATCCAGTCCATGGTTGGCTCACCCCGAGCGAATGCACTTGGAAGGCTCCTGCCTGCCTTGAGAACATCCGACCCCTTGCTGAGTTCTATCCCACATGTGGGACTTTCTTTCAAGAGATACTGCAAATCCCGGATGCCGGTATTCCTGACATTATCAGAGAGTTGGAGCGTTTGGGAGGCCTATCAGCGGACACTCCAAAGGCACAGTCGATAAAGACAGTGCTCCTCTTCTTGTGCAAGTATCTCTCAAGTAAGAAGGATCCTGCAAAAATGCCTCGGTGCTTCGAGCAAAGAGCACTCCCATATTTCAAGGTTTTCCCCATGCTACCTACCACGTACAACTCAAGAGGTCCAGACAGCGCAACGTTCTTGTCTCTCAATGATAGCTGGTACATTGCCGACCGCACGGCATTACGGACAGCGTTCGAGGGGAAAGTTCCCCTCCTGGATTTCGACGTCAAAGATATTGACGAGATCATGCCATTGGTAGCATGGCGTCACCTCTCTCCTCGACTCCTCAGCAATGCGGTAGAAGAGCATATCACTTACGTGAGCGCGCCGATACCCCATCCACTGTGGTCCGAAAACATACAGAAGAAAGCAAAGTACATCGCGCTGTAAGTCACGTTCACCCAAACGTTATTGCATCTCACTGACCTCATATAGCCTCGGGACCAAAGCGACGCCGACGATTCCTACCTTCAAAGTTTCGCTAGCTTTGGGCATTTCAGTGCAAAGAGCAATCGGCGAGATAGTGGGCGAGTCTCGCAAAGGACACATCTCTATCACGGAAGAGAAAGATGTCATTCATATCATCGTCTTGCAGAACCCTTTCAAAGATACCAATCGACGGGTCGACATGGAGCTCGCTGACTTGTTTAGCCGGCTATTTGCAATCCAGGACGTCGAGCGCGGCCTTCTCATCTCACACATCCTCAAAGGCAGCTTTGCCGACGTGCGAGACATGTTGGAAGGAGTCAATATTCGGGTTCTCTTCGACGACGACCTCGACGTCTCTACCGGCGTGTCCAGCTCAATGACCAATCCGACGGAAGATCCCGCCGTCGCTTACAGAGAGCTGACCAGTGCAGTCGGGATGGGGGATGTTGCCAGGCAGTCAGCTCCCACAATGTCCTACGCTCGGGCCTATGATAGAAGTTTTGGAGACGATGATTCGGACTATGATCCCCAATCTTACAGGTTCGAGGAAGTTGGATTTGCGGCAGAAGATTTTGTATGCGACGACGCTATGGCACGATGAAAACTCCGCTAACAAATTTGGTAGGTTAATTGCTACTTTTCCAAGGAAATACCCGACTGGGAGCCCGAGAAGCATTGGACAAGCCGTCTTCGGAAGAGAGGTGGTTACTCGGACTTCCTTGGTGATGAGTCGGCCACAGCTGATTTCACGTACACGGACAAAGAAGGGGGATACATGCTCCCGCTACTTCATAACGTGGGCATCGTTGAGGAGGCCTGGTTCCGCCGAACCATCACGTATCACATGGAAGTGAAGGGAACGGTTCGCGGACTCGAGGAGCCTTTCCACCTTAGCCAGAAGCAGATGAATCTGGTGAGTTCTGCTTGCTCCTGTCATAGGGCCATCCTTCCTCGGGAAACATAACAAGCTTACTGACTACTGTAGGCTCAAAAGTATCGCTTAAACAAAAGCAAGATACCAACGGATGTCTTCATCATCGTCCGGGTCTACGAAGTTGAGGGAGAGAAGCCAAGCTTTCGTTTCTACCTCGACCCGTGGGCCAAGATCTTCAATGGAGAACTGGTTCTGACATCGGATCATGGATACTGTGTCGCGCCTTCGAGCATTAGATGGACTTGAGATACGCGGAGAAGAAGCTGAAAAGCGTTTCTGGTTGAATAGCGAGAGCACGCGACGGGCTGCTGAGTTGTCAGGATAGATGTAGACGATGTAGCAATAACCTTTCTCCCAGTTGACTTCGGTGCCCTTGACCTCCGCTGAATGTTTGCCTCATCATCAACTTGTTCGGCCTTTAGTCGTCCAAGCTGTCATCGCATGCAGTCGAGGATTGCAAGTGCCACCCCGGACGAATCGAACCCAGTTCGAACCCACCGGAGACTTTCGAAACCCAACCTGCGGAACATTAACGATCGAATGCTTCATCGAGACATGACCAGCCGGGCGGAGAGTGAGCGCGGCAGCCAGATGCGACCTTCAACGGGACGAGCTTTCGGGTGTGAGCAAAGAATATGAATAGTGGAGAAAGTCGGACATTGCTCAGAGTTATCGGGAGAAAAACAAAGAAACGCTTCATCGGTTGTTGATATTCGGGCCACCAGAGGATGGCTGCGGGTAGTTGCACGGCACAAACACGGGCACAATAAGACGGGGATCAGAGCTCGTGTCGAGTGGGTTTATTGCCAGCGGGGATCGGCATAGCAGCGCAAGGAAGATTTCCAAGGAACAACCTTTTGTGAGTCGAGCAGCGACTGGGAGCTAGAGGTCCGAACGTTGGTACCGAAGCGAACTCCACGTTTTATTTGGTAGCCGAAGGTCGGGGAAGCTTCCAAGTCGTCGAACCGTTGGCTTGCTGTTATTAATATCGTTCGTGTTTACTCCACGGGCTCGCTGCTGGGTTGCGTGTTGCAACACATGGCAAAGTTGGCGGTCAGAAGAAACGGCTACAGAATGTGCGAGGAGAGCGGCAGAGTGTCTGTGAGCAGCCAGCACTGAGCAGCGCGGTATCGCGGCAGCGCCATCTTTCTTGATGAATGAACCAGCCGAGATGAGTTTGAGTGAGTAAAGAAAACCCCTCGCCTGATAAGGCAAGTCTAGAAGGTTCAATGTTTCTTTGCCTTTCTAACTAACCTTTCTCTTTCCTTCTCAGTAAAATTAATCAGAAACTCTACAGTATGTATCCCAGTCTCTTCGGCCACAGAGTTACCAGAAGGCGCCTAGGCAACCTGCAGAATAGAGTAATTCATTGTTTCTTTGCTGCAAGGAACATATTGCCAGTGACAAACTCTAATGAAATTGGTCAAATCAGGTGTTTACCGTGGGGCCCTTTCTCTCTTTTCCCTCCTTACCAAAGTCACCAGCACGGCAAAAACGGCCATTGGTCTCTCTGGTTTGGGTTTCCCCGTGCGGTAGGTATTCTGACTGACCCCTGGCCCCTGGTCTGCTGGTCCCGCATGTCACCTCGCACGATGTCATGCCAGCCCGGCACTCAGGTCGTAGAACCGGCCGGCCATCAACTCGCTTTTTTTCAGGTGCTTTTTGCTACTACCAAGACGGCGACGCGTCAGGTTTGTCGGGCCTTGACAACTTAACCTATCTCTGTGCGCATAGCTTGCCCGGCGACTGATCAGCTAAAGATAGTGAGAGCGGCAGACACACTGACTAATAGAATCTCCGAGGGGGCACCGGGGGCAAAGCAGAACTGATGGGAAGGAAAAGTGCCGACGCCACAGGGCAGATAGATAGATGATGGGCAAGTCGAGGTAGTTCGATTCAATCCGATGGTTGTCTCAGCACAGCCAGCCGGCTCAACGCGTTCTTGGTTGGGCTCAAGCCACCTGCCATCCAATCAAAACGCACAGATGCCCGTATTTCGTCCGTCTCGTAGTCGTCTTTCGGCTGTCACACTTTTCATGAGGCTGGACGCTAAGCCAAGGTCGACGGGCAATCGAGAGTCAGGACACGAGCTAGAGAGCTGAAGCGTGAGTTGGTTAGAACGGACGGACGGACCGCGAGACAGCGTGGATCAGCTAGATAGCTAGACAGCAAGATAGCTGGATGGTGGACAACCTCGCGAAAGAATCCAGCTGCTTGCGCCAGCCCGTTGCTCGAATGAGCTCGAAAAAAAGGGATACATCAAACAGCAATTCGCTTACGTTCCATTGGGGTCAGAAGAGTCAATTGGATGTCACCTCAATCACCAGTGCCACAAATCAGTTCACTTGCCCAGCTCGAGAATGATCACGCTGGTTCCCCGTCTTTTTTGCCCCTGCCAACCCTTCTCACACCCGGAGCCAACTTGCCATTGACCAAAGAGATCATGGTTGCATGTTCCTGGCCAGAACCCGGTCCGTAGCCTAGGGTCTAGCTATAAGTCGAATGGGTCCAGGTCCAGGTTCCCAAGTCCCAGTGTATGTTCTTCGCAGTAGCTCGACGGCCCCAAGGTTCACACCCCCTTGCTCGCCAGTCAAGGTCGCGTCGCCCCAGCAGAAAAGCGAAAAGCTAACGCCTCCCCAAGCGGAGCTAACGTAACCCTCCACCCTCCACGAGTCCACCCCAATGGATATTGGAGACGCCGCCGTCGCGCGCGCCCGCCGCTGCGCGGTGCGGATATTTGGGATAAGCTTTTTGCAAGCAGAGGGCAGAAGGGGAAAAGCTTCAGAGTCAGGGCCAGGGGTCCCTCTCACTCGCTCGCTCCTGTCTCTGTCTCCCCTGAAGGAACGTGGTGGCTTGCCGGCGCGCGTTGGACTCATATTTATGGCCCATCCCGTCTTCTCGGGTCGACGTTGAATGCCTCTTCTTGATTCCTGTCTTGCTCAACTTCACGTCCACTAATTTCAACGTCGTCCATCCCATCACGTCCTATATCTTACTGATATATCAACCTAATACCGTGTAATACTCACAACAACCACACAACGTTCACAATGAAGTTCACTCTCGCCCTCGTTGCCGCCGGCCTTGTCGTCGCCCAGGACTTCTCTGGCCAGCCCTCCTGCGCCGTATGTTACAATTCTTCTACCATCCCTACGACCCCAAACTAACATTCCTCCCCCTCAGATTCCCTGCCTTACCGATGCCATCCCCAAGGTTGGCTGCGCCCTGACCGACACCGCCTGCCAGTGCACCAAGGAGAAGCAGGAGGCCCTCGTCCCCGTCGCCGCCTCCTGCCTGCTCGCCGCCTGCAATTCTGCCGACCTCGGCAAGGCCCAGTCCGCCGCCGCCGCTGCTTGCGCCGCCTACGCTGCCACCGCCGGCTCTGCCCAGCCCAGCGCTACCTCTGCTGCGGCTTCCGCCTCCGCCTCCGCTTCCGCTGCTGCTTCCTCGGCTGCCGCCTCCGTCTCCGGTGCCGTCTCCTCTGCTCTCGCTTCCGTTAGCGCCAGCGCGAGCGCCGCCCTGTCTTCTGCCTCTGCTTCCGCCTCTGCCATCGTCACCTCTGCCCGTAACGCCACTGCCTCCGTCAGCAGCGCTACCCTCTCTGTCTCCCGTACCGCTTCTACTGCTGTCACTGGCACCGGTACAGGCGCCAGCGCTACTGCCACTTCCACCGGCAACGCTGCTCCCCAAGGCGGTGTCGCTGTTGGTGGCCTTGCCCTTGCTGCCATTGCTGGTATCGTTGCTGCTATGTAAAGGGGTTGACATTTGACGATGGTTCTGGGGAGGGACTGCCTCCTGGAAAGGGGTAGCATGTACGCACATACTGTGTAGATGAAACTACGCCATAGGAATCGTATGTGTAGGATGAATTAAAGCAACTGGACGTCTAGACTTAATGAGGATGGGCGGAAGAATTAGGAAGAAGAAAAAGTTCATGATCATGGCCTGGTTTGTTGCTATTGGCGCAACTGTCTAGCAAAGACGCAGGATAACATACTTTTTAATCAAATATACCAAATACACAAGATCAACAATCCGCTTACGCCCTCATAATTGCCTCTGTTTCGCTGCCATCGTTTCCGCTTCGCGTTCAGTCCATACTATCGACAGGAGACAATCTAGACTTTATGACGAGAAAGGCTAATCAGATCCAGGATCGGATGGAATTCAGCGCTGCTTAAGTCACAGGCAAAAGCTTCGTTGGTGACGCCATTACTGACGTTATCCTTTTTGCCCCTCTCAAGAAGACTATACGCTTTGGGTTTTCCGATCACTCTGAGCAACAGCGGCAGGATGGCAAGCAAACATTTTGCCCGAGTGCGCCCTAGGAAGCCTCAAGTTGTACTCACGTATGGCAGTACCGGTGAAGCCAGACTTCCAGCAGCACCAAGTTCGGTGGCAGAATATGTGTCACCTGTCAAACGTTACGTTCGATTTCAGAACGCCACTTCCTTTTTCCATCGGCTATCCAGTCCAACGTCCGGTGCAACTGTGTTTAGAAACAAGCTCGCTACTTGTGTCTCTCCCCAGGCGTTAGAGCGACGGTAGTTGAGGTAGTCCATCGGTGTCTCTGGGAGACAAGACACTGCGTTCGGCCGGATGTGGGGCCGAGTCCGGGCCCGGTCAGTGCTCGTCGTTGTCGCCCGCTGCGCTGGGAACGCCTTGGCTTGAACAAGCTACCTTACATTTCATGGTGAAATACGATAGCTTCTCATGCGAAGTTCTCGATGTGTCGAAGCTTCTCTGCACCGTTTTGAAGTAGCCCAAATTCCTCTAGAATTTAGAACCCGTCACTTGAAAATCGTCAGGTTCTGTCCGAGAAGGAGGGAAGCATGACTGCCGACACCGCAATTTCGGTGACGTGATTCGAATCTATAATGCAATTGGTCAAAATTCTTAACAAAAGCCGTTTCTGGCGCTCAGAGAGTGAGTTTGGGGAAGGCGTGACTGGTTCGATTGCTTCACGGGTGTAACGAGTAACAGCAATCGCCGAAGATGATGTAAGTTTTGATCTATCACGTCAGTAGAAGCAATAGTCCCGTAGAGGGTACAACTTAGAGGTCTCATTTGAGTCAATATTAGAAGCTCACCGCACTATAGCTTATCCCCCTTCTCATGTTGCTTCCTTGTATGAACTTCCAAGCCTTCGTCAGCCTCCTGAACTCATCACATATTTTGAGAGACCTAGTAACACATCCAATACCTGTATACTCCTTTAGTTCTATGTCATCTACAAGTAAAAATGCTTGAGGGATGTCCGATTGACGCCCATTGTGACGAATATCAACCCTGGGAGCCGAATAGCGATGTAGCAGGAACTGGAGTAAGTCTAGTGCTTGATAAGGATTACCCCTCCGTTTGCATTGGCGACTTCTCGCGAAAAGATTATGGAAGAACTTGACTCACACTCACCAAGGTAATCATTGGCTTTTTCGGCACAGCTTACATCATTTTTCTCCTCATTCTGGCCCATTACTTTGTCGCGTATGACCCTGAAGTCCCACCACCACGACAAAATCTCGACATCGAACGTCAGATTGGATCTACCGTGCGACGAGCACCGAGAAGTCGAGCAGCCGACCCAGATCAATCTTTCAGTCCATATCGCTGGGCTCCGAATCCGATAGATGTGAAACTGCTGGCCTGGCTGAGGTTTCGAACCAGGAAAGTGCTTGATAAGTGCAGTATTCCAAAGCCCGTCTTTGGAGCTACTCGTTCTCAACGTATTCGAACCGGCTTCAACCACGTAGGGCCCCAATCAAAAGAAACATAAGTTGTCTAGCTGAAGTAAATCTACTTTAGTCCATTCTCAGCATGTGTGATATCCAAACCATAACGGGTATAAGCATTCTTGCAAGTGGCTTCATAAGTATGACCGACAATCGCCTACCAGCCATTCACTGGCAAATAATCGTTTATTTGGCCTGGTTTTCTTGTGTTACCCACATGTCTGGCTTGACAGTCTTGAGAACACACTTGCAGGAAGAAACGTGGGCGAGGTACACCCGCCTGGCATTAATGCTAGTCCTTTTGCTCATGCTCATCGTGGCCATGGCACCGACGGCGTTCTTCAACTGGGACCAGGGCGACAAAAGCTATCAAGTGACTATGGCCTATCCCGATACCCCTGTCATTTGCTTTTTTTCAATATCCTGTGGGAAGTATCTCTACCAACAGGTGGAAACGCTCCAACCTTTCAGCCATACGGCAGCCTTCGCGGAGATGCTCATCTCACAGGTGCTCATCAGCGCCGGATTCCTTGTAAGATCTCTCAAACTATCGACACGGCTGTGTGAAGGAATGCAACAAAACCTAATGACTCCGTGCGCCAATCTTGTTCGTCGTGGATTGAAAAGGCTAGAAATGCTCTTGTTCCACGGTACTCATGCAATTGGTAGATCAACGACCATGGTGAACAACAAAATTTTCCGCTACAGCTTGATATTTAGGCCTGTTCTGGCCACGGTTCTACTATTCCGCACGCAAGCGGATTTATTCAACTCCATGTTAGGAGAGGTGAGTCAACCACACACTCCACGTACCACCAGAATAAGTGACCAACCTCGATAATCAGATATTTTGGCTCTGGGTCATTCTGCTTTGGGGTACCTCGAAGCTGTTTGTTACCGCCGCTAGAGAACGATGGAGAACATTCATGGTGGAGGACAGCCCCCAAGACACTCATTGGCAGTTTGGTCAGGTGCCTCCAATGCTACTCCTGGCGGCACCTCTTATGAGCCTCCTCAGCTCGTTTATTTCCGAGTCGACTTGCACAAATTGCAGGAGACACAATATGGATACATCACAAGGTTCTGCACCTGGCACCGATCAAAGCCAGCGAATCGATGAGGCTTCCTTGCCAAACACGACGGCACTAGATACGGCAGCAACCTCCGATAGCGAAGTCGCCACGGATCGAACAGATAATAGCAGCTATCTCAGTCCATCAGTTGCTGTATCTGTGGATATCTATTCTGATATGGAGTGCATGGTACCTTATCTGACTTCAAGTCTTGTTGTGATCGGGGTACATGTATATTTTCTCTTCCGAAACGCGACTAAAACGTTGTTTTATATGGTTGCGTTATCTCAACACCCGGATGAATATCCAGACCCATATCAGCATTATTGGCTCTGGCCAGACTGGACACCTACAGAGTACATGTTCACAGAGGTAGGAGTCTTCCATATGGCTCTTTTGAGCTATCTCTTCGCAGGACATGGCACTATCCTGGCCGGTCTAATGGTCCATGACTGGGCCAGTCCTCCGTCTGGAACACTCGGCTATTACTTGAGATTTGCTCTTACCTGGCTTTCATCTATTGTTACATATGGCTTTTACACCTGGATTATCTGCTGGGGTGTGATCAATTCAGACTTGAAGATCTGGTCGGTCGTTCTTGTCACGGTGGTATTGTATGGATTTTACGTTGTTGCGTGTCTGGCCAGTCGTCTCAAATGTTTCAGATGGAGAATGGCGCATGGAAGCCAGCTCTGTTACTGAAATAGTATAATATTGCATATTCAGATTAGTTAAAGAGTGTCATGTCAGACTACGATTCTTGCAAAAGAAATGCTTATGAGATCGATGGGGGGATCTGAACCAGTCGCTGTGAAACGGGAAACTGTCTCTGGTCAAATCTAGCGAATGTTCCTATCAGCTACCTGAATCTCTCAATAATGTCGGTCCTGGTAATTTCCCAGCTATTATTGTCGGATTTTCCGTGGTGGTGACAAACTTCGGAAGGGTTCAAGAGATGCAGGGTCACTGCTGCGAAGCTCGCGATTGCCGCCCATTGCAGATTATTGACTTTAGCACTCCTGCAAAACTTAGCTGGAATTCTTCAGACACTAGAGACGAAACAGCCTTTGTTACTCTATCTGCAAATTAGCTGGTAGGCTGACTTTCAGGGCTTCGGAGAGTCGGACGTCACGGTCCGGGGGACGCCGTCAGCGCCACGCCAAGTGGGGCCGAAGGCCGGACCTGATCTTGACATCGGCGGGCGCGGTCCGGTGATTCGGCTCTACCCTGTCCTATTCTGCGCCGCTGCAGAAACTCGCAGCTAATGACATAACTTGGATTCTCTATATAGTTGATCCATTCCGCCGGCTGCGCTCAATGTAGCCTCATCCGGATGGGGTGTCGCGCTTGCAGAACATCAGGCAGCTTACGACATACAGGACGGCACATGCTGATGGTGATAGGTCAGCCTGATTTAAATCAGTACGCTATGAGTGTAACCGAAGTGGCACAGAATGATCCTCCAAGCAATATAACAATTCTTGACAAGCCCATGGGTCATTCTAATTCGCTAGAAGGAAAGGGAAGCTGACCTCCTTGCGATTCGGGTGCACGATTATGCAGAGGAGCCAATGTTTCCTGCAGCATCACTATTTGGATTGCTACATAATCATCGCATCCCACAATCAATGTGGCCATTTTCCAAGGGATAAGAAGAACAGGTCCCGCTCAGGGCTGTTTGAGATTCCAGCAATCTCAATCAAGCATCTCATTAGGCCGAGAACGACTTCACCGGATCCAGATTCTCGGCACAAGAATCAAAGAGAGAGTTGACTGCCACAGTCTGAGGATGTCACAATCCGTGTGTCCCACCAGGCTCAAATGCCAGTCAGCTGAGGCCTGGAAGCCTAACAGTGATATAGCCGGCTTGGGGGTGAGTTTTCGAACCCATCGTGCTCATGAGCACACGAGTCTGCAATGACCAGAATCTACGTGTAGATGACTCGCTAATAAGATGTCTCTCAGGTCCTGATTGGCTTCGTGGGGACAGGTTATCTTGTTTTCGCCCTCCTCGTAGTTCACTACTTGGTAGCATACGATCCAGAGCTTCCTCCACCGCGGAAAACACCGGATGACGAAAGGCTCAGCCAAGCAACGAGTCTGGAGCACCTAAGAGCGAATCCGTCAGACGCTTCCGCTGCAAACATCGTCACTCGTACGGATCCAATGTACTGGGAGCCAAACCCTATCGACGTGAATCTCTTGGCTTGGATCAGATCAAGAACGGCAAAGCTTTTGGTGTTTCTAGGAGCGTCACTTCCGCTCGTCGGCCAGGCTACTTCTAATCATATAAGTCGATGTTTTAACACTGTGAGTGCTGGAAAACTTCATGCCGATTGTCAACAGTAACGCACTTGAACGCATCAACTAACCTGGTATATCTACGGCAGTGTGTTGTCGCCATGTGCGACGTTCAAATAGTCACGGGTATGAGCATCCTTATAGGCGGTTTCATATGCTTGGATGAGAACCTATCGGCTCTGCACTGGCAGATCATCACCTACCTCGCTTGGTTCTCCTGTGTGACACATCTATCTGGTCTAACGGTCTTGAGAAGATACTTCCAAGCACACCCGTGCGAGAAGTCCCTCAGAATCACTCTCATGTTTATCTTGCTAGTCATTCTTATAGTTTCTATCGTTCCAACCGGCTTCTTCAACTGGAGGTCACCACGAGCAGACTCTTCTGTACTACAGGCAACCGCAGCTTCAGCCAAAACTTCCGCAGCATGTTTCTATAATCTAGCATGCGCAAGACGACTCTACCAAGACTCTCTATGGAAGAATTGTACAGACTCTTGTGATCGATTCTTCTATGAATCAGACACGATGTGGAGCCGTGAGCTCTGTCCAAAGCGTAACAATATCGGGTCATTCGACTGTCGTTGGCTTGCGAAGTCTTCTGCAATGCAAGAAATGATAGTATCGACGGTACTGCTTTTCTTCGGGTTTGTTTCGAGGACAATCAAGCTGTCGACTCACTTTTCGAGCATAATTTACCGGAGGGTGACGTCGCCGGTGAGCACTTTTATCCTTTACTGTTTCGCCAAAGTAGAAGACGTGGTATCAGCACCCGACGCCCACGCCGTGTCAAGGTTGCAGGCACGTACACTTCTCTTTGAAGTATGGAGAGGTTTCGTGGTGAGACCCTTGCTTGCAGTAATCATTTTCTTTTCAGCACACATCGATCTCTTCAACTCCATGCTAGGTGAAGTAAGTCATCAACTCTCCTTTACTGCACTTTGATTGACCTGTGAATAGCTGGGCTGGCTATTGGCCATTCTTCTTTGGGGAACGTCAAAAGTCTTGTCAGCACACTATGACGAGGAGTATTACACGAATAAACAGCAGACAAATGAAGAAACATCTACAAGGTGGGAGTTCGGCCAGGTCTTGCCGATATTGCTCTTGGCCGCTCCCCTGGTCGCGGTCCTTGGGACATTTACCTCAGCTGAGAAGCATAGCGAAACGGCCCAGTCAAGAGACCGTCTCGAAATACCGAACATAAGCTTTGGGTCCGTTCCCAGCAGCTATAGTCGCCCTCTACAGTCTGACGGAGACACCTGGGAGTTGACAACTCTCTCGACAACCGGGAGTAGATTGGTTGCTCGAAGACGTCCTGAAAATGACCAAAGTAACGATGAAACGAACGATGCCGACTTTTCCGTCGGTCAAGACCAAGGCAATAAGAGCAAAAATGTTTTCGCGCGAGACTACTACAGAGTAGCCCTGTGGATGCCCCCTTGGATTACTATCAGCTTCATGATGATTTGGGTTTACGTCTTTTTCCTCTTTTGGTTTGCGACAGATGTTTTCCTAGTTGAGGATCCAGTAAACTCGAATGTGGAAGGGAAAATGTCACATTCTTTAGACTACCTCTTCAACCCGACTACAGGCGTATTCTATCTGATACTCGAGTCGTATCCTCTCGCAGGCCACTCATTCATATTGGCGGGACTGACGGCTGACGAATGGACGAACCCGCCCCAAACTGCCTTAGGCTATTTCACCCAAAGTGCGCTATCTTGGATTTTCACACTGGTGACGAACACTACCTTTATTTCTTTCGTCTACTTGTCTTCCGGTGTGGAGAAGGAGTACCAGGGGAATGCTGAGAACAAGGATAGAACTTGGCTTCTTGGATCAATCGCTGGCGGGCTGTACGGCTTGTATATCTTTGCATGTTTGTCTCGCTCAGCTATACGTTGGATAAAGCTTGTTGCAAGAAGAAGACCTTGAACCGGTGTTCGTAGAATCGACTACCTTCAGCATACTCACGCACGATAGTACGAAAATATACTTGTTCTGTCTTCGAGTCCTACCTTATCACCGGACAGCAAATTTTCTTCATCAAATTACTTTCCATGGCGATGGATTCAACAACATTCAACGACTAAGGCTGAGCATCCTGCGATACTAGTGACAATAGTTGAAGATTACAGAGTTCCCGAAGGACTCAAGAGACCCCGCCGAGCCCGCGGTTGCCGCCCATTGCAGCACCCCACCAACGCATCCCAAAGCACGCCAACACGGGCCATGTGCAACCCAGATCCCGGGCAAGTGCGCTGACGGACGGGGATCAGGACCCCCAAAAGAGGACGTCTTGGCCGGCGCGCCGTCCACTGGGAGGGAAGGCGGTGGCCCGGTGGGTGGGAAAATGGTTGGAAATCGGCCGGTCCCGCCATGTTGGGCCGGTTGCGGTGCAGCGGTGGTGCAGCGGTCGCAGTGGTTCTAAGGAGCCGGACCAGTCAGGCGAGCGGAAGCGTCACATGAAGAAGGAAACTGGCGGGTCCTCCCACCCCCATGGCCCCTCCTCAAGGCTCGTGGCGACTGCGATAGCTCCCCACTGCTGCATCCCGACCACCACCACCTTCCCTAGGGCGATAGTGCAGCTGAAGTTTTTTTCTTCTTTCTGGGCTGTTGGTTCTCTACCGACTGGGATGTTGCCGCGATAAAATTCCAACCCTTTTGTCGCATTCTTCCTCCTCACTTCTCCTTCCCCTCCCTCTGTTGCGACAGCTCGAAGCACAAAGTTTTGCGCCGGTACCAAATCGACTACATCACGCGCTGCCTGACCAAAAGGCATCAGAAAACCGCTTCGAACCCCTCCGACGATCATCATATGTTGCGCGCCGCCTCGGCAAACTTCTTCGCATACCACTTCCCGGCGCATCGTCCATGTGCCGTGCTATCGTAAGATAGACAAAACAGCGAGCGACTTGAGTCTTTGCGCTTGCTGCCAGGGGACGAGAAAGACCAGAGCAGTTAATATCACTACAAATCCGTACCAATAACCACACATCGCGAAAACTAAACTCGACCGAGAATTGAGATCGTTCCGCGCAGACGATACATCGTCTGAATACCCTCTTGTGCGCACCAAGGTATGTAGAATAAAGCCGGCAAACAAGACGACTAACCTCGCCTCAGATCGCTGTATGCCTAGCATCGCATCCCGTCGCTTCGAGTCCATTCTGTCGCTACCGCGCCTACCCTTCACCAGGACCACAGAAACCAACACCGACCCCGGCCACGCCTACGCACCGTTGCCCACCATGGCCGCCGACGACGACACCACCAAGAATCTCAACGCCGCCCCGGTGACAACAACACAGATCACCGCCGGCCACGACGAGTCCGAGCTCGTAGGCCAGGGTCTGCACGACATCGAGGCCAGGAAGGTGCACTGGTGGAGCTACTTCACCACCGTCGACTTCTGGATCGTTCTCATCATCGGCCAGATCCTCGCCTTGTGCATCACCTCGACGAACACCTTCACCTCCTTCCTCGCCAACAACGGAGTCTCGATCCCGGCCTTCCAGACCGTCTTCAACTACATCTTGCTGTTCCTCATCTACTTCCCCGTCACCATCTACAAGTACGGCTTCAAGAAGTGGGGGAAGCTCCTCCTCCGCGACGGCTGGAAGTACTTCATCCTCTCTTTCCTCGATGTCGAGGGCAACTACTTCACAGTTCTGGCCTACCGCTACACCAACATCCTCTCGGCACAGCTGCTCAATTTCTGGGCCATCGTCGTCGTCATCATCCTGTCCTTCTTCCTCCTCCGCGTCCGCTACAAGGTCTTCCAGATCGTCGGCATCATCGTCGCCATCGGCGGCTGCGGTGTCCTCCTGGCTAGCGACCACATCACCGGCTCCAACGGCGGTCCTGGAATCGACATGGTTAAGGGTGACCTCTTCGCTCTCCTCGGCGCAACTCTGTATGGCGTGACCAATGTCGCGGAAGAGTGGTTCGTCAGCCGCCGGCCCGTCTATGAAGTTCTCTCCTTCATGGGAATGTGGGGCATGTGCATCAACGGCGTCCAGGCCGCCATCTTTGACCGCGAGTCCTTCCGCGAGGCCACCTGGAACGGCCCCGCCATCGGCTACCTCCTCGGCTACACGTTCGCGCTCTGCCTCTTCTACAGTCTGGTGCCTCTGCTGCTGCGCATGGCCAGCGCCGCGTTCTACAACATTTCGCTGCTGACGGGCAACTTCTGGGGCATCATTATCGGCGTCAACGTCTTTGGCTACTCCATCCACTGGATGTACCCCATCGCCTTTGTGCTCATCATCCTCGGCCAGGTCGCCTACTTCCTCGCCGGCAGCATGCTGGGTGATTCCAAGAAGCCGTGGCTGGGCGACAACCAGGAGAACGGTGTTGCTGGTCTCGGCACGGCCAAGTTGAAGGCCATCAACGCGGCGCGCAAGAGGCAGATGGCTGCTGCCGAGCCTCCGGCGTATGCTTGAGGGGGCCGTGTAAGGCCAAGACTCTACTGAAATATGTAGTTCTTGGTTGAAGAGGCGGGAGGGGGTTGATGGAAGATTCATGTTGACATCTTGATCTGAGTGATTAGCATAGAAGAGTCGTCATCGTGGCTTGCTACGCTTGTCAAAGCAAGCCCCCTTTTCTTCCTCCCGGAAAACTCACAGTCTTTTTCTCTAAAATATACACTAAAGTAATATAAATACACTATTGGATACCAACACTCGTTATTTCCCGTTTAAGCTGCCGCTGCCGCGTCTCTGCCGCGTCATGATTGTGAAAACTAGGAAATTTAGTCAAACACTGGGCTCTTGACCAGGTTTTTCGAAATAATGACAACGTCTCTTGACGACGATGGCTTGTTTGATGTTTCTTCTGATAAAATCGGCAACTTCTGGAAGCCCAACTCTGGAAGACATGAGCAAGAAAGAAAGAGGGAAAGAGAAAGCCGCACGGCCCCTATTCAACGACGTCAGGTCCGGTCTCACCGTCCTTATCGTCACCGTTTACCGACGGGGCGGATGACACCGGTCGTCTGGTGGCCCTCTCAAATCATTGCGCCTCGCTCGCAGGCCCAGCGGTCTGGCCTCGGGAATTGTTCTCTTTCTGTGAAGCGTTATGCGTAAATGCGAAGCCGTCAAGATGCGACACAGCATTTGATTTGGAGGCAGGAGGGGGCTTCATACTTCCGCAGGGAAAGGAAAGAGTACGGAGTTAACGTATCCCGCTCGAGTCTGGTTGTGGACTCTTCTCTCTTCAAGTCCCAAGATCTCCAGGTGTTAGCATATAGGCATTTAACTCGAGGACTAGCAAGCCCTATGCTTCATACCTCCTACCAGGCTTAGAGACTTGAATAACTTTTGTAACATTATGATGGCATATCGGGATGCACAGAAAAGAGGAGAAAAGACCCCGAGGGCAGTGCAAGACCACGAACCTTCGGCTAACGCAGTATTCATAGTGTAAAAAAAAAAAGCCCCAGTAGACCAACCAAGACTGCCGACGGGAGCACGCTCTTTCGCAGCACACGCTTGCGCGACGTCGTTCACGAAGAAGCAAGGGTACGTGCGGCGCAGAACAGGCGCCGCAGAAATGGAACCTACGTAGTAAGTTACAGTACCCGTCGTGCGCAGGCGCCGCAGGGTGCAGGTGCAGTTCTGCATTCTGGCGTCGCATTCACGGCACTGCAACGGAGAGAGAGAAAAAAAAGATATGCGCGCACTTCCCGTCCCTCCCTTCCCCCTCCGTCCGCGTCCGCGTCCGCGTCCCAGGTCCAGGGCTCGAGAGCTTTTTTTGATTCTGCGAAACCACCTTACCCCCTTACCTGGGCCGTGGAACTCCAAAGGCTTCCTTCTCCTGCAGAGTCACGGCTGTCTCTCTACCTTATCTACGGTATCGGCAATCTACCTTCGTTTGTCTCTCTTCTGCATTTTCAAGTTTTCAACTATAGTCATTTCAGCAAGGGACTGCGGCATGGAATCACATCTTCAGACAATCCCCCCCCTCCCCCCTCCTCAAAGAAAGAAAACCATTCTTCTGCACTAAGAAACTTGTGTTCGGCGCCGGCACATACACCATCGATAGTCGAGAGCGTTCGTTAGCCCGTTAGCCCCCGATTCCCCGATAGGCGTTCCTAGTCAGGGCACTCGGGGCCAAAAAAAAAAAAAAAGAGGGTTTCTTGGCGGTCCCCCGTCTGCTTTGCCAAGATCTCTAATCTCGACGAGGCGGCCTACGGCGCTTCGTAGAAAGTTAGAAAGAGAAATAGAGCAGGAAGAGAAAGCGACAGAAATGGTTCCCGTTTTTGATTACTGAAGTCCGGGAATTATGACTAACCACCTTTGTCCCTCGTACTTTAAGTGCCAGCTGCTGTGTCTAGGGTGTAAGCAGCGGTTACTTGCCTGGCTGCAAGTTTCCCACCCTGCTTGCTTCGTTGCCCGATGAGAGAAGAAAAACAACGCCAAGTAAGGGTGAAGAGCCAAGGCCAGGAGGCTCTTCTCGTTGGTAACAAAACGGGCGTACGTTTCGCTCTAAAAAGACACGACGACCACAAAAAGTCGCGCGCCATTGGGAGACGGGGGGCTAGAGAGTTGCGTCGTCGCCCTCTTGCGCCTCACTGAGTCCACGTCAAGGGTCAAAAAGGCAGCCGCCCGATTGGTTGCGCCATCTTCCCAAGCTTTCGCCCGGCTCACGTATTACACGTGTATCCGTACGATTGTTACTCTAGACTCTCGAGGCCTCGAGTTCATGTTCGACAACCTCGAAAGTGTTTGTGTATCCCCGAGGTCGCGCCCGCGTTATGCTTCTGGCCCAGAATCTTACCCGCAGCCTCCCGCCATCCTTGCTTTCTCACTTGTGGCGATCAAATCTCCTTGGTCTTATCCAGAGACCTCGAATCTCTAGATGATTGGCAAGTGCTGGATAGTGTCCGTCCAAAGATGGATGCCTTGCTGGACGGCCCTGTTCGCCCCCAAAGTAGTGGGCGTAATCAAACAACCTTTTTCTTTCCTTCTTCCGCCCACGCCGTCCACGAAAATGTCCTAATTTACCGCCTAGTCCTGCCATCCCTACGCTGGGACGCCGAGCCTCGAAGATCATTTCAGTTCCAAAAGTTTGGTTGTCTCTGAGTTTGCTGCTCTGCTGGCAATCGCCGGGCTGTCCGGACCGCCAAGACTTTCCCGTACAATTCATACGCCAGAACCTCCCCCCTGACTTCGTCTCAGAATCGCTGCGTTGACCTTTGACGAGGGTTCTTAACTCTCTTCGTCCCGTCTCTGAGCTTTTCCTTCTCCACGATTTTTATGCTTCTGGCCTTGCCTAATCTTTTTGCCTCTTCTTCTGGACCGGGATTGGCTTGTGAGGGAAAAGAGTTGCGCAGCGGGCGATTCCATCACCGACCAAAATAAGTGCCCGCCCTTTGCCGCCTCGGCCACCGTCCCCTGGGTTGCTCCGGCGAGAAAAGGCAGCTTACGAGTCGTCGCAACAAAACACAAAGTCTATTTTCGTTCTCGCCCAACCCACTTGTGTCCACAGATCGCAGGAGTTGTTTACTCACCCTGCCAAAAAGGAGGAGGTCTGAGCTCAACGGCCGGTTCGAGCGTCATCTGATATAGCGCGGGGTGTTCGCTCAAGTTCCTGCAGAGGGACTAAGATCGGTTCCCTTCACCTGTACTCATACCGAGAGGGCCGTTGAAGGGTTTTTGAATTTATACCTTATTTCCCTTCTTGTCGCTTCATTTCCTTCACAACATCAGCACGAGGAGCAAGCGAGAACAGCAGTAAGAGAGCGGAAACTCAACAGAAGCCAAAGGACCATGGGTCCGACTCACGACCACACCATGATCGCAAACCAATCTCGATGGACAGTACTGAGGAATGGCTCCTCTCGCCGGTCAAAAGTACTCATTGGTGCCTTCTTCATCTTCTTATTATCCGCGATCTTCGTACTGCAGCCGCACTGGCACGTCGCCAGCTCCGGACTGCCAGTGCCTAGCTTACACCGACCTACGCCAGAGTCTACACCGAAGGCGCCGGCCGGGAGCAATGGTGGCGATAAGAGCGCTGACTCACGTACAGCTGTTTTGACGCCGGACGCTGACGGGGTCCTCTTGTCCGCGGGAACGCCTATTTTCACATCGCCTAGCGGTCGTCACGCTCTCGTTCTGCAGGATGACGGAGACCTGGTTCTCAACAGGGTTGACGATGATGGCAGCTCTCATGCCGTGTGGTGGACCGCGACAGGTGATTTGCACAAGGGCGGGCGCACAGTAATTCTTGAGAATAAACAAGGCCATGTTCGTATCGTATTAAATGCCATGTTGAAGAATACGTGGACGACGGTTTGGCATAGCGACCTCGAACCGGCCTGCAAGAAGACACAGGGAGGCATCATGGGACGGAGCGAGGACGGCGGGTCGCAAGCAATCGCCAAGTCGAAGAGAAGCTCCGGTCAACTCGAGCTATCGGATACGGGGAGACTATCGATTCCTGGGCTATGCGATTTGTACGTGCCACCGAGTGAGCGCGAAAAGGAGCGCAGTCTGGCTGTCATCATTGCCGGCCTGTACAGGACCAACCACGTTACCTGCAAGACGCACATGTCAGAGCTCATCGCCGACCATCCGGCTTTCTCGAGGATCGACGTCTTCGCATACATGCTCTACGAGCCTGGTGACATAGATGTGTTCAACCGAACCAGGGAGTCCATTGAAGCGAACCTCAGGGAGTGCTACGGCTCACACCTGCGATCGGTCGACGTTTTGCCTGTGAGCGAGACGGAGGTGAAATATCCCGGCGGCACGGAGGCGATGGCGACGACACCATGTGGCGAAAGACTGGGCAGGTTGAACAATCAGCTGAGAACCGTATCGTTGGCGGCGGAGAGATGGTGGGCTTGGAGTGTCACCAACGGATACACCCATGACACGGTACTGCGGATTCGACCGGACACGTCATTATGGGCGAGACCACAATTCAAGACGCTGGAGGAGCTGGGCCCAAACACACTCATTCTGCCTCACCCTCGAGGTGAACACTACTTCTACTGTGCGCGTATGAGCGGACGTGTGGGTGTCGGTATGTGAATATCAGCGAGATGCCTGAAACAATGTAACATGACAGCTGACCTGATATTCGAATAGGACCAACCGATCAAATCGCGTACGGAAGCGCGGCGGCCATGGGCCACTGGCTCTACATGTACGACCGGTTTCAACAGATGGTCGACCTTGCAGCAACTCCCTCTCGGCCGGCGCTCCGCGACTTCTCGGGATGCGAGGTTATGCCGTCAGGTCCCCTGGCAAGCGACTGCCCGACGCCGGCGCCTTGCTCAATAGAGTGTCTCGTGGCATGGTTTCTCGAGGCCCGCGGTGTGGACTTCCACATCGAGTGGGGATGGGAGCAGAACCCATTGAGATGGAAAGACATTGGCCAACTTGGCGCAGAGGAAGAGAGACTGGCCGATCACGACGACGAGGACGATGGGATGACGTGGGGATGAAGTTGGTCGAGGCGAGGTTGTAGGAGAGGTGGCGCATCTTTCTTTTGTCTCGTTGATTTCTGGAAAGCGTGGTGTTTGGGTGATTTGGGAAGGTCTTGAGATTCAAGTACCTGAATAGAGATGTATAAGTGAAGGAGAGAGCGACTGGTGGGTACTTACCCTATGCATTTGGCTTGAAGGTTACCTGGCGTCAACAATTGGAAAGAACACCCCGGAAGCGGAAGGAACCGCGACAGCATATTACCTTACCTTACGGCAGGGCTCTTCAAGAGTAAGGTACAACTCAACTTCAAAATGAAACAAGTTGAAAATAAAATTGAACAGTTGACATCGATCCGTTGAACATGTTCGTATCCCGAGTGAATGGTCCAAGTCGATGATCTTGTGGGCTACGCTCATGAGCCAGAGCAATTGCAGCAGAGACGTAACAAATCATGATGCTCTATGTTGGCCATGGCACTTGCCGGCCACAGCTCTCTGGTGTAAATCCTGCAAACATCGATTTGAGGGTCGTGAGATGAAGTTGAAGGAGCAAGTGAGATCTATCAGGGGTCGGTGACATCCAGGTGGTTCGGTTACCTTGAGGATCGGGCGGGGTAGGTGGAATGTGGGTCGCTCCTGTCTCTTCCTCCCGTCTTCCTCTTGCCTTTTTCGGACAACACCGAAGCCAACTTCAGTTGCGACGACCTCCGGGTTTCCATCTTCATCTAATTAGGTACCTCCATGTTCTTAACCGCAGCAGTAAGGTAGGTCAAGTCTTGAACCATTCACCAATCATGTAATCGTCGAATCCTTACTGAACCTTAGAAATGAAAAGGTTGAGGGATAGGCTTCAGCTGTAATGGTTCAAAGTAGAACATAACCTTTGCATATTCGGCACGTGAGTTATTGTACATGGAATGAAATGTGCCTAGGGAAAGAACTCTTTCAGTGCCCCTAGGAATTGAAATCCTTGCTTAATCGCATCGAGAGAATCAGACCGTGGTCTTGGTCATTCGCAGGGATTTGCATCCGTCTTCGACACAGCAAAGGGCCGACCCAATTACATGGGGATGGAATGTGTCTCCGACTGCCACCCGTTGATGAGCGGTGTCATTGAGCATCTAGTCCTATTGACGTTCTTGGCGCGTGAAACAGCAGATGCCCGACGCCCCAGAAACACCACGAGGGCGCGACACGTGCTGACATTGTATCCTCAGAATAGTAAGAGGGAGGTAGCCAGCTGCCTACGGTACTACCGTGCATCAATGACAGATGTATTCCAAGCTCAGCCAACACGAATTAGCAAGAGCACGTTTGATGAGAGGTGTGGTGAAAGTTGGCCTAGGAGGGTGTGAAAAGAACTTTGGTGCTGTTAGTTTACCAAAGTCCCAAAATATTTCGGCCGGTGTGCCACCTCTCTGCAGCCACCAATTTCCCATCTTCCACCGTTCGGCCGGTAAGGCGCGAGCTACGGTCCACCAAGGCGGATAAAACGTGATTCCACGGGGAAACTCGAGCTATCTCACATCAGTCTAGCTGAGGTACACCGTACAGCTGAATTTACACGTAGCTTCCCCCTTTCTTGGACCCAAAAGTCAGTGTTTGTTGGGGCCAAAAGGATCGTGTACCTATCACGTGTCGGTGACTTCATGTAAGTGTTGTCGGTCATTCCCATCACACATAAATCGAAAGTGACATAACCTGTCGCGCCTTCTTCGGGGAAATCCACAGATGCGTCTGTATAGATACTGTCTTTGGAAGCTTGGTCTCAAGTCGACTGGATTCTCTGAAGTAATTAGTGTGCCAGACTGGAGTGGCCGAGTGCTCGCAGGAAACAGGCAGCAAGTCTACCATGGCATCTCCATCATCGAGACCCAGTTTAGCGGGATATTTCTCTCACCATCTCTCCACCAACTGGGCTGAGGACACAGCTAGTGAGAAGACGGCTTGAAGCCCGGAACGACGGCCCAGCTTCTGTCGTTGATGCAACCAAAAGCCAACGCCAATGGCCCAGAGCTGTGGGTTGCAGGTCCATTCGTGGTTGAAGCGTGGTTGAAGTCTGCATTGGCGCCGCTGACAGGCAGTAGTTCCACCTAATTCAGGGGACGCAGCGAATCAAACACGAGAAACGACCCCTATTCACACGTCGCTTAGGTGACGCTAGTCCTGTTCCTGTCCCTTCAGCAGCTTCATTGGAACCGGCCGCCTTTGTCCTGCGCCGGGCAGTGAGAGCCACCACGCCTGGACCGCCGCCCAAGAAGATGACCACTGTAGAAACGCTTGCCTGTTTGGGAAGTGGTGCGTCTGGTGTGTGCCCACAGCCGCCCACTTTCTTGGACCTCGTCTCTTCCATCGTCACAACTTCAACTCCGCTCACCACCACGCCGTCGCCCGCATTGCCTGCACACCCACCCGCTAACACACATCAATGGATACGCATCCCACATCGTCGCCGTTGCGGTCTGCGCCGCTCGCGGACGTCAATGCCTGATCGTACCTCTCGAGCAGTCCTCACGAGGGGGGAAACTGGTCCCCTGCACCCCTCGCCATGATGGCTTACACCCACAACTCAATTTGCCTCTAGGCAATTTTTCCTCAACCGTCCCTCAATGTAGTTAGTCACTACATCGTTGCGCCGCTTCGTGGAGAGCGGCAATGGTTCACTTATGAATGGGAGCCTTCTCTTGCCGTTCCGTGTAATGTCTCTTTTCTCTCTTTCCTGATTTCCTCACTCCATCTCTGTTCCTGTTGAGATCTAGAGACTACGGTGTGTCTTCACCATCTTGCAAACATTTGTGTTTGCGTCCTTTCTTTGATCTTAGATCACATCTACACTCTTTCACGGCCTCGGCCACCTTACAATCGTTGCGAACAACGTACAAAAACACTTAATCGTCTAATACTACTACATCAAACATGCTCTTCAGCAAATCATTCGTTGCCGCCGCCGCGGTCATCAGCCCGGCCCTGGCCCATTCTTCTTCACAGACAACCACGAGTGCCTCGCCACTTCTCGGACTCAACCTTTACTGGGGACAGTATGGCCAGCCTACCGACCGCCTTTCAAGCTATTGTGATGCTCCGGGTGTCACCTCCGTCTCTCTATCCTTCGTCACATACTCTCCCAAGAACAGCGCTGGATACCCCGGTACCAACTTCGCCGGCCACTGTGGCGGCGAGGTTTACTACAAGAACCCCAAGACTGGCGAAGACACCAAGTTGATTATGAACTGCGACTACGTCAAGAAGGATATTCAGTACTGCCAGGCCAAGGGCATCAAGGTTCTCCTGGCTATTGGTGGTTACTGCCCAACCGGAGGCCCCTGCAGCTACGACATTGACAGTGAGCAGGATGGCCATGAATTTGGCGATTTGTTGCACAAGACTTTTGGTCCTTACGATCAGGGATGGAACGGCCCTCGTCCCTTTGATATCAGCGAGACTGAGCACATTGCTGTTGACGGTTTCGACTTTGACCTGGAGTTCAAGTATTGTATGTTGATAAGATCGCCCCTTTTCATGATGAATGATGATACTGACTTCAACAATAGCCGACCAAAAGCCCTGGATCAAGATGGTTGAGAAGCTTCGCAGCTGCGGTATCTACCACATTTCTGCTGCTCCCCAGTGCCCGACGTCAGACACCTGGTTCCAGCTCAAGGAGCTCATCTACAACGCCCAATTCGATTCCCTCTTCATCCAGTTCTACAACAACCCGGGCTGCCAAATCACCGATACTCCCAACTACGACGACTGGGAGACGGTCATTTCTCAGACCTCCAAGAGCAAGGATGCGAAGCTGTACATTGGTGTCCTCGCCAGCGTCGAGTCCGGATGGAACGGTTATGCTCCTCCTTCCACGATCAAGGACTTGATCTGCAAGTACCAGAGCAAGCCGCACTTTGGAGGTGTTTCTATCTGGGATGCCACCCGTGGCGCCATCAACCAGATCAACGGCCAGTCGTTCCACGAGGCCATTGCCGATGCTCTCAAGTACGGTTGCAACCCCATCCCTGCCAAGACCTCCACCATCAGCATCTCGACTTCGACTTCGTCCGTGATCTCTTCCACCGGCACCTCGTCTGCCATTGTTTCCACCACTTCGGCAAGCTCTAGCTCTAGCTCCAGCTCCGCGACCTCGAGCTCCAGCCAGTCCGCCTCGGCATCCGTTTCTGCTTCAGGCTCTGCCTCTGCTTCTGCTTCCACCTCGACTTCCGTGTCTGCCTCTGCCTCAGTCTCTGCTTCCGTGTCAGCCACTGGCTCAGCATCATCGTCTGGCTCAGCATCTGGATCAGCATCGGCATCTGGCTCGGGATCTGTCTCCGCATCAGCGTCTGCTTCTGTGTCCGTATCATCCTCCGCATCATCCTCCGCGTCGGCCTCGGCCTCGGCTTCACTCACCTTCTTTGGCAACTCTTCGGCGTCTGCCACGGGATCTGCTTCGTCACGCATCATCACAACATTGAGCTCCAACGCCACTGCCACTGCTAGTGCTTCTACGACCAAGTCTGCGACTGTTTCGGACACTTGCGATGAGGACGACGAGGACTTCCCAACCACCACGGCGGGTAACTCCCACACCGCCACTGCTACTGCCACCGGCTCAGCAGACGCAACAAAGACTGCCTCTGGCAGTGTCACCAACAAGGCCACTGGGCCTGCCACTGGGTCTGCAACTGGTTCTGCTACGAGGCCTGCCCAGAACTCCTTGACGGTGTCCATCTCAGACAAGCCCACCGGCACCAAATCAGCTACCGAGTCCGCCAAAAACACACTTAGTGTCCCCGAGCAGCTGACCACAAGCACGGTTTTCACCACCAAGATCACCACCGTCACCTCTTGCAAGCCCGATGTGCCCTGCACCAAGGGCCAGGTTGTCACCGAGACCGTTCCTTGGTACACCACTGTCTGCCCCATCACGGCAACATCGTCCGCCGTCGCCGTGCCCACGATCAGCCCTCCTCCCCAATTGGTCACCAGCACAGTCTACACCACAAAGATGTACACCATCACATCTTGCGCTCCTGATGTACCAAACTGCCCTGTTGGCCAGGTCACGACCAAGGTCATTCCTGCATACACCACCGTCTGCCCGTACACCGAGACGACACCCGGCAGCAGTAAGCCTTCAGGCGACGTCCCCAACCCTCCCAAGCCCTCTGGCGACGTTCCTCAACCTCCTAAGCCCACCGGGGATGTTCCCAAGCCTACCGGTGGCCAAGGTGGCAACAAGCCCTCTGGCGACGTTCCTCAGCCTCCCAAGCCTACTGGTGATGCTCCCAAGCCCACTGGCAGCCAAGGAGGAAACAAGCCTTCTGGCGATGTTCCTAAGCCCACTGGCAGCCAAGGTGGCAGCAAGCCTTCTGGGAGCATTTCTCCCCCCAAGCCTACCGTAACTCCCGTTGTCCCCGGCAAAGGGGATGACTCGACGACTTTCATCTACAAGACCCTGACTGTCCCCGTTACGATTGGCAAATACAACTCCACACTCGCGGGTACCGGCTCCAACTACAAGCCCACCTCCACGGGCGGGTTCCCCAGCTACACAACGGCTGCTCCCGTTCCTAGCAAGCCTGTCCAGGCTGGAGCTGCCAAGATTGGAGCTTTCGGAGTCGGTAGCTTGGCCGCCCTTGCCGTTGCCCTTCTGCTCTAATGTGTGTAAGGGATTGATGATTGGTTAACACGGATATGGCATTTATTTCTTTGATTCTGTTCACGAGATGTATAAACATGACTAATATTTCCTTTGTATACCTATGGTGCTGCAATCGAGGCATGTAAAAGCAAGCCTTGGCATACAGAGCCTCGTGATAAAACGTTTGGGGCATTGCATGCTAGAGCATATAGTAGAAGAAACATGTTGTATGTAAATGCAAACAATGCCATCAGCCCGTTGCTGGGATTTGTTATCTGTTCCTTGAACAACCTGATGTTTTGACTTTTTGGGTGTCGCCTATGCGCTTTAGGCCCCAAGGTTTCTTTCTCAGTCGTCCGGCCGAATCGGCGTGCGTGGGCTGAATGAACCGATCTCGGGAGCGACATGGGAATCTTCCTAATGGGCTTGCTTACCAGTGCCGGCCCGGTTTTCAAGGAGCCGCTCGGCAGAGATTGCGCGCGCCGTTTCCAGGAAACATCTCAGTGAGGATACTGAGGAGCGATCATGGTCAATCAGTGCCCGATGCGGTTGGTGTACGGAGATGGACTAAAAGTAGTTTCTAACTTTCTTCAGCTCTTGTGTGTGGCTCAAACAACGGGCGCCACAGGTACCCGGCGACCGTCTGCGCTGCTCTTACTGCCTTGGATACTCTCCACGGCACGACACGGGTAGTCAGTCGAAAAAACAAGATACACGTATTTCATCTTGGCAACCTTACCACCTTACTAACCCTACAGCTTTACCCCTCTGCATCTCACCGTATGCTCCCCCAAAAAGGGACCAAAAGGGGTGTCATCATCGGGTGGCATTAAAAGGGTATTAGGGTGTGTCGCCTAATTAAGTCCGTTTCCATGGAAAGACTGGACTCGCTGGGGGAGAAATGATGATATGATTGGCTGGGAGCTCACGGGTGGGATGAGGGGGGCCGCAAGCCTGGTGGTTTCGTCACCCCCCATCTCCAAGGACGGGAACGTCATTTCTGGATTTCTGGATTGCTGCAGGGAACCTGGCACGCCTGGAAAGGGAGAGAGGTACAATCTGAGCAGTGAGAGAGGAGGGGGAAGCAGAATGAGGGGCGCACCACAGCAGGCCAAGGGTTGATTTGCGATGACCTTATTGCACAAATTCACACTAGGCGCTAATCTGGACAGTCGTCGAGGTTCTATCGTGTTCATCAATGGGGCTATGCTGGAATAGCGTCGGTACCTTGGTTGTTTGAGTTCTTTATTACAACCTGAGCTGGTGACCTTACCTTATGTGATTCAGGCGCAGACTCGGGACGAGGAGTGGGAGAGAGATAGAGAGAGATAGATACCTTAGGTTCTGTGTATCCCGAACAGTCGAGAAGAAAGAAAGAAAGAAGACCATCATCTACCCGTCCATCCCGTCCAACCATCCATCCCACCTTACTTCCACACTACACTACCTCACTCCGTACATTACATGCTCAGCTCGCTTTCGTTCTCGTGCGACTTGCAGAAAACTTGGCAGCAGAAGCAACAACAACACCACCATCCTCGTTCACGAACGACGGCGGGATTCCAACGTTGGAATCTTCTCTTTCGTGGGATAATTAGCACTCCATTGGTTCCAACCGCGCCGCTCACGTCGATGCCTACCTATCTCTAGGTATCTTCGGATATTCATCACAGCATCCACAGCTTTACTCTACGCATTATCCAACCCACCCCACCATTGTCTGTGGTTTGTCTGTTGTCGCCGACCAAAGCGTCTCACATTCCCCCAACCGAACCGACATCCAGCCAGTCCCTCATTCAGCAGCATCCTCCACCAATTCTCGTCCTCATCCAAAACCCCCCGCCGACCTATCAACAGGTCCGAGTACCCAGTGTTCCTGCGAGCATAGGCCATAAACTGCCTTACCTTTCTTTACCTATCCTTCTCCTTTGGCTCCGGAGTGCGGCATACGGATAACAAGCCCGTCCCTTGTGCTTGACCACCAGCTGCTCCATTCTTTACCTTACATTACCTCCCCACGAGAGACGGAGTACGGGATCCAGGACACGCTCATATAAACTCAGACTATCTTACGAGGAAGTGGGGAACCCAAGCAACCTTGCCTGGCCCGCGTTCCAGAGGTGTCCATAATAGCATCCTTTTACGGATACAGTTGCTCTCCAGCTAGGTTCGTGTGCGTGTGAGTGAAGCCGAGCTTCCTTACTGCTCTGCAACATGTCGGACGCTGGCGATAGGTATGTGATGATCCACCTCAATCTGCTCCCGTCTTCTCCACGCCTGTGGCATTCCAGCTGCGATGCACACATCCACAATATCCCATCCCTTCTGTCACCATCCTCCCATTCCCATTGCACCTGTCATCGGGACCGACATAAACCTCAGCAGCAAGGCGTCTGCCCACACACTCTCTCTGGGGCGGCCTGCAGCAGCAAGCGACAGGAGCACCATCAGCACCAGCAACAGCACCTTCCGCATCCCAACCTTGGCGGCAGCAAAGCTAACCCTCTCCTGATTCTCCAGCACCCACAAGCGGTCAAAGTCGGCCGCTGCCCTCTCACTCCTCCGACGAAATCACTCCCGCAGCGAAGAAGATCCATCCACCACGGATGACGGTGCGCCGCTGACGTCGCCACCTTCTACAGCGGCTTCCGCGACAAACATATCCATGGCTCAAAACGTCCCCCGCGGCAACGGGGCCAACAGGCTCTCCATCTCCCCTTCCATGGGCCGAACCCCTTCCCACAACAGCCCCCCCTCCGCAACCGCATCTACATCCGCATCCAAGATGAGCGTCGCAGGCAGCGAAAAGGGCGTCTCCCTCGAGCAGTCTGTTCGCAAGTTCCGCATCGTCGAGGCTCTGCGAAGCGGCGACACTGCTTCTATTTCCAAGGCCATCAGGGATACCGCCGAGGGCGGGCCCCGCACGAGCATCTCCTCCATCAATACCCTCAGCGGCACCGGCCTCGACGACACCACCGTCCTTCACCTCGCGATCCAATGCGCCGAATACCCCGTTGTCGAGTACGTCTTGTCTGACGGCGCTGGAACCATCGATATCAACGCCAGAGACAAGGACGGCAATACCCCGCTGCACGTAGCCGCCGTCCAGGGTCGGACCCAAGTTGTCAAGCTCTTGCTCGACCAGAAGGAGATCAACGATGCCATCGCCAACTACCAGGGCCGACTGCCCATTGACGTCGCTCGAAACCCCGATATTTTCCAGCTTCTCCAGCTGTCGCGATCCATTTTTGCCGAGAACAAGGTTAGACAGATCCAGGGCCTGATTGCGCAGAACGACTACAAGGCTCTCGAGACTGTATTGGAGGAGTCACGCCTCAAACAAATCCTCGACATCAACAGCACAGAATTCGTTACCGAACCCACAACCCTCCAGGCCGGCGGAAACCTTCTCCACGAGGCCGCCCGCAAGAAGAACACCCAGCTCATCCAGGTCCTCCTGCTCCATGGAGCCGATCCCTTCCGTCGAGACCGCAAGGGCAAGCTCCCGCAGGATGTGACAAAGGACGATACCACACGCGCTATGCTCAAGCGATCCCCCGCTGCCGTTGCGGCTCAGAGAGGCATCCAGGAGAAAGCCGTTCTCGGCCAGGCGGCTTCACAGGGCGCTGGAGCCGCGGCCTCTGCCGATCCTGTGGCTGGGAAGGAGGCGAGAGAGATGAAGGGCTACTTGAAGAAGTGGACCAACTACCGCAAGGGATACCAGCTTCGATGGTTCGTTCTCGAGGACGGCGTTCTGAGCTACTACAAGCACCAGGACGATGCTGGCTCCGCTTGCCGTGGCGCCATTAACACGCGCATTGCCAAGCTGCACATGAGCGCTGACGAGAAGACCAAGTTCGAGATTATCGGCAAGTCTTCTGTCAAGTACACCCTCAAGGCCAACCACGAGGTCGAGGCGAAGCGTTGGTTCTGGGCCCTCAACAACTCTATCCAGTGGACAAAGGACCAGGCAAAGGAGGAAGAGCGCCAGCGCGCTCGCGGCGCCGAGCTTCTGAGGCAGGCCAAGGCAGAGCAATCTGGAAAGTCGCCAGAGCTGTCCATCAACGAGGCCCAGAGCGAGAGCGCCAGCGTGGCCGATGGAAGAAGCAGTGTGCAGATCCCCCGGACTATGTCGCACAGCAAGATGTCCGTCCCCAGAAGCGACTTTGCTGGTGCAAGCACCGTCGCTAGCAACGATGACGACTTTGCCGATGCGGCGACAGATGCGGGCCAATCTCGCGTAACAAGAGGGCACCATGGACCAGACGATGACGATGATGATGACGACTTTGAGGATGTCAGTAGCCGTGAAGAGCCCTCTGTTAGCAAGGACGCCTTCAGCATCACAGCTCAGTCGGCCAAGCTACAGCTCGATACCATTTCAGCTGTCAACGCTGCGATGCTCTCCGAGGCCTCCAAGAACCCGAATACGATTGTTTCCGACACCAAGGTCACTCAGGCTCTCACAACCTACGATGCAGCTGTCAGGAGTCTGACGGGACTTATCGGAGACCTTATGCGGATTTCAAAGGATCGCGATGCCTACTGGCAGTACCGGCTGGACCGCGAAATCGACATGCGCCGCATGTGGGAGGAGAGCATGGCCAAGGTTGCCAAGGAGCAGGAGATCCTGGAGGAGAGAGTTGACCAGGCTGAGCAGAAGCGCAAAGCTGCCAAGCGTGCGCTGCGCGAAGTTATGAACGAGCAGCCAACGGCCTCTAGCCAGGACCTCGAGGGTGACAGAAAGGTAGATGGTACTGCGACAGTTGAGGCCGCCGTCGGTGCCGACGACACGAACATCGCAGCCCCACCAGCGGCGCCTGAGAGGACCTTGACAAGGAAGAAGACGGTTCTTGATTCGCTTGAGCTGTCTGACTCTGAGTCGGATGATGAGGATGAGTTCTTTGATGCAGTTGATGCTGGAGAGGTTGAGGTCAGCCACTTGCCGCATGCCGACGCGGTGCCTACTCCTCACGAGGAGAAGGAGGAACAGCAACTCGTTGTATCTGGTGGCACGGATCTCAGCAGCTCCTTCAAGGGTTATGAGAATGGCATCAGAAGTCGCCTCAAGATGGATGCCGATGATCGGCCCAAGATTTCACTTTGGGTAAGTTACACCCTATCTTATGCGGTGCATGTCCAGCTTGCTAATCTGCCTGCAGGGTATTCTCAAGTCCATGATTGGCAAGGATATGACAAAGATGACTTTGCCTGTGTCATTCAACGAGCCTACCTCTCTGCTATACCGCGCTGGTGAGGACATGGAATACGTCGACCTTCTGGACCAAGCTGTGGAGCGATCTGACTCGATTGAACGTCTCATCTATGTGGCTGCCTTTGCCGCTAGTGAATACGCTTCTACTGTCGGTCGTGTGGCGAAACCCTTCAACCCGCTTCTTGGAGAGACTTTTGAATACGTCCGGCCTGACAAGAACTACCGCTTCTTTATTGAGCAGGTTTCTCACCATCCTCCAGTGGGTGCCGCCTGGGCTGAATCACCCCACTGGACCTACTGGGGTGAATCGGCTGTCAAGACAAAGTTCTACGGCAAGTCCTTTGACGCCAATCCTCTTGGAACGTGGTTCTTGAAGCTTCGACCCAAGTCTGGAGGCAAAGAAGACCTTTACACCTGGAGAAAGGTCACGACGTCCGTCATTGGCATTATCACTGGTAACCCTACTGTTGACAACTATGGACCCATGGAAGTCAAGAACTGGACGACTGGCGAGGTGTGCCAGATCGAATTCCAGCCGCGTGGCTGGAAGGCGTCTAGCGCATACAAGATTTCCGGCAAGGTCCTCGACTCTGACGGAAGAGTCCGCTACAGCATGGGCGGCCGCTGGAACTCCAAGCTTTACGCTCGTCTCACGCCTGGATACGAAGCCACGGTCGAGGATCCTGGTGACTCGGCTTCGCTCCACAAGGGCAGCATCACCGACCCTAACAAAGCTTTCCTCATCTGGCAGGCCAACCCCCGCCCGCCCGGCATTCCCTTCAACCTCACCCCCTTCGTGCTCACCTTCAACCACATCGACGACAAGCTCAAGCCTTGGCTGCCGCCCACGGACTCTCGCCTTCGTCCCGACCAGCGCGCCATGGAGGATGGAGAGTACGACTTTGCTGCCGAAGAGAAGAACCGTCTGGAGGAGGCGCAGCGCGCGAGAAGAAAGCAGCGCGAGGAGAAGGGCATCGAGTTCCGGCCCGCGTGGTTCGAGAAGACGACGTGCGAGATTACGGGCGAGGAGTACTGGAAGTTCAACGGCAAGTACTGGCAGCAGAGAGAGAAGGCCGGTCCTGAAGGGAACCCGCAGCAGGCCTGGGAGGGCCTGGAGCCCATCTACGAGGACGCGAAATAGGAAGCTCGCGTCGTTCTAGGAGGTGTTCGTTCTGTCAGTGGAGGTGGGATCGGTGGAGCCAGCAGCGGGTATCAAGGCGTGCCGGACAAGAAGCCGCAGCAGGCGGTGCGTCTTGCGGACGGGCCGAGCGGCTTTCGGTGGACTGTTGCCGGCAAAAGGTAGATCCCGCCTGCACTGCGTGGCGGAGAGCCAGGATGCAAACGATGTAACATAGATGATATTGAAATAAGCAATCGCTCGTTCTCGGCATGTCCGTGTGTGTAGTACATGTTATTGTGAAGTTTGGAAGAGCGTTTAGCTCATGCTGGATAAGGCTATGTATGGTATGATGTCAGTGTGTCTTAACGAGTTCGATTGTAAGACGGGTCTGGCTTAGGAAAGATGAGAGGCTAGCGATAAACGAATACGGCCTGTTGAAGAGGAAGCCGAGAGAGGTCTGTCCACGGAGGAAGTGGGTAGGATGGATGCGCGGACAGTCAGATACTTACCTTGGGGAAAAGGATCTGGTTTTTTGAACGGCCGCGGCTGGAAATTTTGCTAAATGGGTTCATGGACTTTTGTTGTCCCTCAAGGTACACAACTAAGGTCACGGAAGGCGCGACTAGGTCGGACCCTCATCCACCCTGCTTGCTAGGGAAGGTACGTATATAAGGCATTCGAATGTTCACACTTGATAGATCTTGTTCAGTCGCTTTTTTCCCTCTGCTTCTGAGGTCTGCTTCTCCATGAACTGGTGCATCTCAGGCCGACTAGAGGAGCAGCATCTCTTCCATTATGGCTATCCTCTTCACCATCATTTACTGCCTAGGAAACAACTACTTGTAGCTGATAGGCCTGTCTATTTTTGACGTATTCGTCTTGGAATGTGAGCGAAAGGGTGAGATGTGGCTATCTGAGGTGCCTGTCTGCCTACTAGGTGGCTGCATACCGACTTTCACTTGGACCTGTAATTGCCCTCTATAGCCAGGATCCAACTATCCACACTCAGCCTTCGAACTGAGATATCAAGCCCTCTGACTCGGGTGCTTTACTTAAACGCCCAGTCAGGGAGATGTGACTTGGCCATAGGTAATGTGGTACTGCAATACCTAGCTTTTGTAGCCTACGGAACGTGGTGTCCAGATATAAAACAACCTACCTAGAGCCCGCTGGCAAAATTCTTTCTCCAGCTCAATTCAGCGGGGTGAACGGGACCAACAGTAGCTTGTCTTTAGCTATGGTATGCTCTCGTTCGCGTGCTCAATCGCCTTCGTGATCTGAAGGGGCGACGGTCTGGAATACGAAACCACGTAGTGCAGCCAAGTGAAGAAAGCATATCTCCCATCCCTCCGCCCATTCTTTCCCTTGTGGTATTTGATTATGAATACGTGGGAGGTGAGGACGGTGTTGAAAATGCGGTGGTCATATAGTCTGTCTATTTGGGTGTAACGGTGGCGGCATAACTGCCCGCTTGCTTCGTGCTGCCTGACAACATGCCCGGTTATACCAAGAAGGTAAGCTTGGTCTGTTGGTATGCGAGCGCGTGGAGGACACAGTTATGGAAGTAGAAGTCGAGGTGTTTGATGGGTATTAAGTATCCTAATTCGATGCGAGTGCCATGAGCGGCGCAAGACCGCCTCTACGGGAGGCATCTAATCAGGTATGAAAATGTCTCGCCGCCTGCTGGAGATCCCGGAACAAAAACCCTGTTATTGGATCTTGCCTCCGGTATATGAAGCTGAAATCAATGTGAATATGCAGGGCACAATTTTAGTACGCATGGGCACGGTCAACGAGTTCGTCTCACTTGAAGTAATTTGCTAATCGTTCAAGACACCCTGCCGATATTGCTATTGGATAACTTGGTCAAGATGGTAACGCTGGGGTAAAATGCAGACATGAGACGCATTCCTTACAGTCCGCCGATATCTTGCTTGCATTAGGCAGCTTGAAGTTCTAGAGCCGAGGCAAGCGGCGGCACGGGACGATTAATGAACCTGGAGGGACACCGGAAGCTCTCCCGCAGAGGCTCTACGTTCGAACGGATGAATCGAACGACCGTTCAATTGTTTGGTCTTCAAACTGTGAAGAACGCGTTGCATCAGAACGCACAATTGCAATGTGTGATGTGATATGTGAGGGAGTCTATCTACGGCCATCAGGGGAGGATATCGTACGTCGCGGAGCTACCATTTCGGGTATTTATTTGCACATGACCCCTGTGATCTTCTCTGCCTCTCCTCAATGGCAGTGTCTACTCCGTACAGACTACATATAGCCCAGTCCTGAGTTGATGCTTTCCCCTGACGACAGGTGCAGTTGAGCCTTGTTGGGCAGCTGCCCCGCCAAGAAGCTTGTGATACCGGTCGGAGCTTGGGGTGGAGGGCGGCGTGTGCACCCGGCGCCCGTGGGAGGTGGGACTTCAAGGGAGCCACTCACCGAGTCCCGGGAGCACCTCGGTGAGCTCGGGTGGAGAGCGGCACGTTTCCTGCAGCAGGTGCAGGCGCTGGAGACTCGCAGCTGCCCACGACTCGCCACGGTCCGTGATCCCCTGACCGCAGCAGTGACATCCAATCAAACCGCTCCGCTTTTGGACCTCGGCACTTTCCCCCCCTTGCTTGACCACTGGCCACGACCCCAATTGATGTCACATTTAGGGGACCTGGTCGCGCATCTCAATCCGGGCTCCTGGGTTTATTCACAAGCGAATCCTTTTCTCGTCCCCATTGTGTCGTTCATCTTCTTCGTCGTTCATACCATCTCTTTATCTTCATTTGTATCACGCGCACACGGAGAGGTAGATTGAGAGGCGCAGCGCACAGAAGCGGGCGTGTTTGACCTTGCGAAACGCCAAGACTCGGTGTTTAGAAGAGAGAGATTTCTTCGGGGCTTAGAGGCGAGCTCATCAACATCATCATCAAAGACGGTAGACAGCAATCGATTTAGAGCCAAACCTTTTGGAAGAAGAATATACCGGCAAAATGGCATCAGGTAGATCAACAATCATCCGGCCCCCGCCGGATGACCCGAACAAGAGTCCGATGGAGAACGTATTGGAGGTGACGGAGCTCGGCGTGCTTGGTCCGGTGAGTGAATCCCATCCGATGCCGTCGGCGGCCACATGTCTGCGAATGACACAAGCGTATATGTCAGGGAGTGAACACAAACTGACTTCGTAACCAGGACATCTTCACGAACACGCGCACGCCGTGGCACCCGCCCGGCGCCCGCGGCATCTTTGGCGGCGCCGTCATCGCGCAGTGCCTTGCCTCCGCGCAGAAGACAGTACCCAACGACTTCTTTCTTCACTCGTGCCACTGCTACTTCCTCCTCGCGGGCTCCTCTGAGATCCCTATTCTCTTCCACGTCGAGCGTGTCCGCGACGGCCGCTCCTTCGCCACGCGCACTGTGCAGGCCCGCCAGCGCGGACGGTGCATCTTCACGACGACCGTCTCGTTCGTCAAGGAGGGTAGCGGCGGCGAGAAGCAGGTCCGGCACGCGGCGCCGCTACCCGACGGCGTGAAGCCGCCCCCGGACAACTGGAAGGGCGAGCCCGAGTGGAGTACGCACTCGCCGTTCCAGACGCACCGCATCTCGATCGTCGGGGCCAGGGACAAGGGCAAGAGGCTCGACGAGCTGAAATCTCGCAACTGGGTCCGCGCGCGGGGCCGCATCTCGGTGAGCGGCGGCCACCAGGCGCATCTGAACGCGCTGGCGTACATGTCGGACAGCTACTTCATCGGCACCGTCGGGCGGATCCACAGGCTGTGGCGGTTCCCCTTCAAGCCCGAGGAGTTTGACGACCTCCCGCCCGAGCTGCGAGAGCAGGTCGAGCGGCTCAACGAGTTTGAGGGCAACACCGAGGCCGGCGGGATCGAGTACTGGAAGACGAGGCCGCACTTGGGCATGATGGTCAGCTTGGACCACTCCATCTACTTCCACGAGCCGAGGCGGGTGAGGGCGGACGAGTGGATGTTTACCGAGATGGAGAGCCCCTGGAGCGGCGACGGACGTGGCGTGGTGCTGCAGAAGATTTTCGCGAGCGATGGGACGCTTTTGGCGACTTGTGTTCAGGAGGTGAGTCACCCCTTCATTGCCGTCTTTTTGTTGCTCTTGTCTTCTCCCGTTGATATGTGATGTGTGCTGACTTGTCTGGTACAGGGTGTCGTTCGGTTGAAGCAACAGGAAGACGATGACGAGAAGGAGCCAAAGTCCAAGTTGTAGAGCGCAGATATGGCGTGTATGAGTGTGTAGAGGTAGTGTACCAGCTCTGAGTCTGTTTCAACAATTTGCTTGTTATATAACAAGAGCATTTGTTATTTCGATGATTTCATCACGAAGTCTTCTCCTCCGCTTCTCGAGCTGTTGGGACATCGCAACGCCCATGACGGAATCATCTATATGGAAAAAGCTGTTCTTGGTCATCGAGAATGATCGGACATGAAAGTTCTTCACGATGCCAATGATCAAGAATTGTCAGAAACTACCATGTGTCATGCTTGCGATACTAGAAAGGCCTTCGTACTTGGGCGTTCGCCCGTAGTGACTAGCAGAGTTCACAGAGTTCTGTCGCAGATCGCGAAACTCGTTTAGGAAACCTGTCACCCGGTCGCCTCTATCACGAATACGCGTCGGACCGCTGATTAACCTACGTCACGTACAAAGCTCCTCTAGACGTCCGTGAGGGTGGCGCGGGAAGTCGATGAAGTGGGTGTCGAGAGGGGCGTGTGGTGTGGTCGCTGGTCGCCTTGGGGAAGTCCAGACAAACCCAACCGTACTCTCAAACTTGAAAAGCCTGAATAGCCGTGAAACGTATGGGTGTGACAACAAGCTCAAACTTCAGATCCAGCCTTCATTGCCAAGCTCAAGCTTAAGCTTCAGCTCCTAGGGCCATATGACAAAAAGTTGAAATTGCAAATTGAACAGGCTTCATTGGTAGGAAAGTGCCGACTGTCGAAGCTCCTCGCAACGGACCATCTCGATAGATCACTCATCACACCAACAGGACCTGCAGCACAAAACGCACATACGTTAAGCTCAAGCTTACATCCTGGAGCTGTCCGCAGGCTGGGAGGGTTGCTCAGAAAAGAAGAGAAACAGCAAGCTTTCCCCACGCGTCCGCCCACCCAAGCCGTCCCTTTTGCATATCGCAGCTCGGTTTGTGACGCACGCACATACCCATACCTGCTTGTCAGATTCCATCCGGGCCACCCGGGCAGAAAACTCGTCTGATCAATATC